AAAGAATTCAATAATTGAAGTCGGAAAAAAATGGCCGTTGAGCAACTTGATTCCTCATACAAACTCTTATCCCATTTTCAGCCCCTTAAGGGATGATTTCCGGGATAAAAAACCTATATCCTTCCCAGAGTCTCAAACTATCTTCTTACCAAATTTCATCTAAATCGGTTCATTAGTTTCGGAGCATATTCAGTACAAACAAACAAACAAACAAAAAATCTAATTTTTCCTGTTTATAATAGTATAGATTGTTAAACACTTAGGAACGCACCATAAGGTCGCTAGTGTATGACAAGGTAATTATCTTGAATTCAAATATGACATATATTATATTCATGTAAAGCTCAAACTGAGGGCTGTGTGTAAATAGAATAAATAAAAATGTTGAGACATTAACACACACCACCATCTAGTTCATAAATATTTTAAATATAAACACCCATGACTGGAGTACAAACATTCGTCATCACACAAATGATTGCCCCCAGCGGGACTCGAACCCGCGACCGCTGGCACAGCAAGTAGGGTTACTACAAACTGAGCCAAACGTATCGCCAACAAAAGAATGTATATTAAAGAAAAACTCAAATAAAATCAAAGTTTTCACTTTATTTTAATAAATTGCATATTTTTATCTATATAAACAATTTAAAAATTATACCGCTTATAATAATGACACGTCAAATATTCCAAACATTCAGTCGGACTGTTCCTTTTGTCTAGCAAAGGATTTTAATCTATCGCATTGACCAATCATTCTTACACTTAACTTTGAATATTATATGCAATGACCGACATTCTAATCACACAAAAAAAGTTTGACAATTTTTCAAGATCATTGTTCTAAAATACTGATATGAAATCAGTATAACGTATAGAAATATACAATTTTATATCAATCCCTCCACGACCGCGGATACGCTGGCGTGTCAGTTAACAATAGATTTCTTAGAATTTTAATTAACTTCTTAGAAATTTACCTGAAGGTGTTAAGATGGCTGATAAAAAAAATTGAGAACAAATAGCAACCGTTTTGTGTGATTAAAATTAAAATCCGCCATATAAAATGATCAATTATGAGGTACATACATCGCGGGTATAGAGATACATCATAGAGCACACGTCATAGATTAAATACAAACATCTAAGGTACTTGCTTAGCTTTATCATTAAAATGTACGATATCTATTCATTTTCTCAAATTGATTTACAATGCAAAAAATCGTTTCTCGATAGATATATATAAAATATCAATTTGAGAAAATAAATGCTTAGTGCTAACAAACTTTTTTAATGGCAGTGTTTCTGATGATGGCCATACAAGGGCTGTTATTAAAATGTATGGATCATCAACTGCTTATATTTAGGTCACATAAATCTTATATACTAATAAATTAGATTGAATGATGATCCAAATATAAATCATTTCCAGCCAATAGCCATCATCGCTAAGTACGAATAATTGCTCCAATAACACTATTACTATCAATAGTTATAAATTAACATCTTGTGGAATGCAAGTTTTCATTGAGAGTCCCCAATATTGTATAATTAGAGCTAGCCTTAATTATTAGTGCGGACTTCGGTACAAATATGAAACCATAGAGGTAATGCAAATAGTATAAGATCCAAAGTTAGTTCGTCTTCACTCATCTGCTTACAGGTGAAATTTATTTTGTATTAAATAACGTAAACGAATATATCACAGATGGATTCCCTAACATAATATAAGGAACGTTTAATTGTAAAAATATTTAAATTTCACTTACTTGCTTACTAAATATATTTCAGAGTAGATAATTCAAGTTATGTTGCTTGTGAATCAATATCATATTTTGAATTATTAAATGCAAAATGCACGACAAAGTAGCATTGCACGTACAATTTGATCTGATATAGAAAATTTAGCTATCGAATAGTAGTAATAGTAAAGAAATAAGTAAAATTAAAAAGTATAAATCATATTACTCTTAGTAAATAATCCTCTCGACTATATTTTATTAAAGTAACTCATCTGCAATATGTTTGTTTATAATATATCATGTCTAATAAAATACCTTTCGCCCAGTAAGCAGATGAATAAAGGACTACCACACTTCGGATCTTAGCGTATAAGCTTTTTTAAACAAATATTTTGAGTACAAGTGACGATATAAGTATTAAAAATAAATCAATAAAAACACATATTTTTAGAAGTTGGTGCAAAAATGGTTGAAGCCATAATATTGAAATTTATTAAATAATTGTAAAATTTTGTTATTATATCACTACTGCATTACATAGTAAATGTAAAGTGTGTTATTATATTGTTTGTTTCTATGAATATCATATAATAAAAATATGTAGGTATAGACACGATAAAAGACATGGCGATTTTTCCATGAAAACAAATAGACCACTTCTGCACTAACAGCCTAAAATATGCATTAAAATTTTAAAGTATTGAAAAATCATACGGGTTTATAAAAAAAAATTACTTATTTTAACTCATGGTCAGTTTAATGTAAAGCTAATACGAATACAAAAACTGTAAACCACTTGATTTATAGCTCGAATGAAATCGAGCGAGTTCAAACGTTTTCTCAAATTAGAACACGCTATTTCCTAGTCATAGAATTCTGCCAAAATAACATAGGTATTAAGACCTACCAACATTAAATAAATATAAGACAGTACCAACCTTTAAAAAAGGTAAATAAAATACTCAATCGTTCCCTGTTTTAAATGTGAAACTTAAAGGGTTCGCTCCGAATGCAATAGTTATATATCCTATACTAATGATTAAAAAAAAACTAAATAATTATAAAAAAATATAAACACTGGATATAATAATCGGTCCGGATAGTAAGCTCATGGATCCTAAATTACAGGTCTAAAATTAAACTAACTATACCTATTCGCAGAAAGGCAGGATAGGGTAATAAATCAAAAAGATTGATGTTTCCCCAACACCAGTCTCGACCTAGATTGGGATAAGGATGGCTCTTAGCATATATCAAAACGGGCCCTGAAAAGGGGACACTGGATATTTTGCCGCCAAATTTTGACATATTTTTTTTTTAATTTTCACCTATCTTATTTATTATCTGTAAACGAACTGTCAGTGAAGTATAATTGCTATTGTATATATAAATAATGACGTAACTTTTGTTTTATTATAATTATGTGATGCTGTAAAAATAAGATTTTCGTATGTGGCAACGGATTTATTATATATATATTTTAAACTGAATATAATGTGGGTATATGAATAAATAGTTATATTAGGTAGTGAGTAAACTTTAGTGATGAGATAAGACGAAATCCTTAAAATTCTTTGATATGCTTTTTAAGACACATACAATTTACCATACAAAAGTTATCATTAAGATTAAATGTAGGAAATTTACATATATACAATTAGGCCTATACACGCAGATATAAAAATCGAATAATCGCGTCGAAATAATAAAATATATTTATGAAAAATAGCTTTGCAAAATAACCAATTCTGCCTTATAGTAGGTACCGGTAAAATAACTTAAAATTGTAATAATGAAGTGGACATGTAAATTCATTTATTTATTTCTTGATCTTACGATCTAGGTGCTTTACAAAGTATAAATAACAAAAATACACTTAACGAATAAGAAAAGGCTTTAAGAGCTGCAAAGAATAATGTAAAAAAATCTTAATTTACATACTTAATATTAATAAAACAGACGAGGGACATAATCGTTCACTTTAACTATATTTTTTGTTGCTAATGATGGGTGACCATTTCCAACTTAAAACTAACAGTGAAACGTAATGGCACTTAATTTCAAATACAATGTCTGGTCAAGGACAGTGTGACAATAAATTAAATTAGCAATAGTTAATATTCACAAATTTAAAAAAAAATTGTTATAGTTAACAAGTACAAAGAATAAAAAAAATTTTTTTTTGAAGAGATACTAAAAAAATTTTTTTAAGAGATACTAAAAAAATGTCGGTACATAATTAATTTATTGTAACACTGTTACCCTCTAAATAACAGTTATTGTCATAAATGCTACGAATTTTATAATACTAAATGAATGGCGTCACTATTTATCAACCATACAACAAATAAAAAAAATAATAAAAAAATTCTAATAAATGTTAGATATTACTTAAGAATATTCTCCAACTCCGCATTATATATAAAATTACAAGAATTAACGTATCTATAACGATACCTAAACGTCATCAGTCATTTCTTATCTCAGTAATGTGTCTTGTTCCTAATAACTTCAATCTCATTTACTAATTTTTCAAATTTTCAACTTCCAATAAGTTAAGAATTGCCAAAAATTGAATTAAAAAATTTGTTTAGCTGCCGTGGATCTATTATAATAGGTTATAAATCAAATATTTATATGGAGAATTATATTTGGCAATTTCAGAACCTCTTACAAAGTCAAAATATAGTTGAAACTCGCATAATTATCACAGGCTTAAAAGTCCGGTGGGCGATACACAATAAGGCATCTCACTTGGTCTCGCCAAGTCTCTACCACCTTTATTTATACTAGTATTGCGATAGTGCCTTTCCATCAATTCCTTTATGTGTTGAATTTTGAACTTTACAACAAAAACTTAAGGTATAATTTGCTTTAATAGAGTAAATTTCTTGTTATGACGGTTAACTTAACTAAAACTTATAAATGCTAAATATTTTCAAAAAAAAAAAAACAGGACAAAATGAGCACTTGAATGGTTTTCCGAATTAAAAGTTTCATGTAACATTAGCAATTTTCAATTTAAATTAAACCTTAATAACATAGCATTTAAGTCCATTTTTAATAGCCGTCAACAAAAGACAGGTACAATTATATAAACAAATCAATAATCACTGCTTAGAATTAAAATTAGTTTGACTATCTGTAATCATTCTTGGTCTCATTGAACCAAATTTACATATTCAAAGCTGAACTTACGCTACTTTTGATATATTATATTGTAAGTCATGTCGGCTACACGAGCCAAGCGTGGCGCTAGCACCAAGATTCTTCGTGTGGTGTTCTATCATCGTCAGAGTCTCCATACATATCCGCTAATTTTCTGAATCGCGGCCCAAATGTAGAGAGATAGTTGAATTTAAGGTCCTCATCATCGGTACCTGTGGACAATTAAAATATTTTAAGTCTAGATTTAGGAAGGTTTTATTTTTCGAATAAGTCTAATTATAATTATTATATACATAGGATTACTTTTATAAATACGGAAGTTTGTATGTGTGTAACGATTTGCGAATGTGACATTAAAATAATTTAGCCCAGGAAATGATAAGCTTTTAATTTTTTTTGTACAAATAAGTAAAAGTTGCAAGATATATTGAAGCCATGAAAGCTTATAATATCGACAGAATAATCTGATAAACGCACAGAATATAAAGACTAAAGTAAAGTCAGAACGGATCACTGGTTTTAAATGATAATACTAATCATTATATGTAATAAGCAAAAGCATTATAATAAGTAATTATACAACAAGAATCTTTAATTTTCATGTTCAAAATTGTATTCAACTCTTTTTAATGTCCTACTGATGAGGCCATAGTCAACCACGCTGGCCAAGTGCGGGTTAGCGGATAGATTCTCTCAAACTTGCAGTTTTCTTCACGATGTTTTTCTTCACCGTAAGACAAGTGTTAACCATATTGGAAATGATTTGCACATGAAAATATCAAATATGCAAGGCCCGAGATTTGAACCCGCTTCACTCTCAATGTTGCCTCTGGGCTACCACTCCCCGTTTAAATTGCCATTGCATAACTATAGCACAGACCCTGTTATCTTTGTTTATCGCAAATAGTAACCTAAATATCGCGATAAGTATCGTTTACAGATTTTAGCAATTCACTGCGCTGAAACCACATTTCGCGTGAGTATCGTTGAATTCGAATCAAAAACCACTTAAATGCCCATTCAAATGTGATGTATGTAATGAGACTAACGTGAGATAGATGCAATATTATAGACATAGTATCTTGCAATTTTCTTTGGCAGCGCATGGATATACGCTTTTGTGTGTTTTATTCATTTATTATGTATGTCTGTTTAAATGTGCTCCAATCGAGATCTTTCATCGACTTCAAACAAAGGTGGTTAACTCAATCCCTGTGCTTTTTTGGTATCTTCGCCAATTTTGAACTGATATTCAAGATATTATTTTTAAAATTAGAATGTAATTTTTTAATTAAGTGTAGTGTCATATAAAATTCATAAAAAAATCACCTTTTAGGCCAGATTAAATATAATACGTTTTTTGTTTCGTATATACCTAAAATATAATACGAGTAATATTCTTGATAAAAATTCATCATAAACACACGAAAAGTTCCAAACAAACAGCTTACCCACCCCTTTCTTCTTATCCCCATATAGAGTAAGAGTTTCGTGGCAGTAGATTAAATAGTAATAACGAAGCCACAAAAGATATCTTTAATAATAGTTTATCTTAGAATCATAAGTAAGTATTAGGAATAAAAACGTTTGATTTCATAGAATCTGTTTAAATGGAAGTTTTATATATAAGAACCGCATATTTTCGGCTAGCGACTCTGTCACTAGGTGTCTTTTGTATTTATAATTATACTAGCAGAGCTTACGGCTTTGCTCGTAAAGTAGAAGAAGAGTAAATATACAAACTTTGAAATTTATAATAATAGTGAGAAAAGAAGTAACTAAAACATTTGTAGCGGTCTCTTAGACCCAGATACTCTTTAACAATAAAAAAAAAACATTTGTACGGTCAATATAAACAACCTCAACAATCGAACCCGCATTTACCGTCTTCAATAGTATAACAATACTTCGTTATAAAGAATTTAATTTACGTTTATATTACGACTAAAGTATCTTCTAATTTACTTGTAACAATAAAAAATTGATGGCAAACCGTACAAAAACCTAATGCAAGTAAAGAAATTCCCACTAGAGCATTTTATGTTTCCCTATTTAGCAGAATCGCTACTAATTGGCTAGTCGTGATAAAAAATATAAGCATCTACGCTTCTCGGGAAATTTCTAAGTGATTTTTTTTAAGAATACGTGCGAAGACTTGTAAAGGAGGTTTTATTAATATTCTTCAAGAATTTGCTATCATTTTAATATTCATTTGTATTTTTAGAGTACAATAAGAGAGTTAAGATTGCCTTTAATGGTACGTTTCAGATTTTTAGACGGTTATATATAATGAATATACTAAAACGTATAATTAATATTATTGGCTTTTATTTTAAAAATGTGGAAAACATTTGAAAAAAATCACATTAAAAATTTGGTCTTTAAAAGATGACATTTTATAAGTCGATCAGTATTCTCGCACGGTAGGTCATATTTCAGTTTTCATTAGAGTAATTTAATAATAAACCTAAATCTATTTGCAATATTTGACTATTTGAAATGCACTATATAAACAGTTCGAAAGTTACGGCAAACTAACAAAAATTACACAATAAATGCCTTATAATATCAAATATAAAATTAAAATCATTTTAAGAAAATCGAAGTAAATTACCAAAATTTCATAGTAATCAATTCTATAATATAGTAATTATTCTAAAAAAGATAAAAGTTTGCAACTTACAACTGGCTAAAGACGATAGTGACCCACTGGTGTTACCATCGCCTTCGTACGCGTAGTGTCGTACATCATCGTACGGGTTGATATCCGGATCTCTGTCTAGGACGGATTTCTTGTCGTCTAAGAAACCGGATAAATCCGGTGCTGCTCCTACTACACCTGTAGAAAAAAAATATTTTAGCATATTTGTGTCGAGACATAAGGACGAATAACGATAGCATTTTAATACCACTTTTATTTCTTTCTTTTTAATCCCGCTGAGATTATATTTGTAATATGTATTTAAAAGTTATATATGTGTAGTGTATCAACTATCTGGTATATGGAACTAGATGGTGCTGTGTGTTAATGTCCCAACATATTTATTTATTTCGCCAGTTGCTCTCAGGTCTGAGGTTTTATCCTATTCTAACTAATACTACTGACTAGACTCATGACAATATGTTCAATAAAAAAATATTATACTGTAATGCTGAATAATATACATATTTTGAATATTAATTAAGGTCCCACTACTGAACCTCTGCTTAAAACGTGGGTATCATACTATATTACCCCATGCCAAGAGCGGGTTGGCGGACGTCACATATCTTTCGTAAACTTGCTAGGTTCTCTCAGATATGTAAGTTTCCTCACGATGTTTTCCTTCTCAGTAAGTGGTAATAATGTTAAAAATGATTCGCACATGAGAATATCAGAGGTGCGAAACCCGAGATTTGAGCCAGCTTCACTTGGTTTCTCAAGCAAGAACATTACCACTGGACCACGACTGCTTAATGTCTATACTCATAGAAATTTAAAAATCAAATATGTAACTTTGACAGGCGATAAATCAAAGATGGCGCTTACGGTTTGGTTTAAGTATAAGAGAAATATAGAGCGCTTCCTTAGTATTCTAAGGCTGCATCAAAATACTTTGACAATTTTTAACTCTTTTTGTTGGCAGAAGAAGGAATTTTCAATCTTATTTTATTCTTGTAAGATATTTGGGTCAACCTGACATAGTTTGAGAGTATTTAGTTAACTAACTCTACTTCAACTTAATTATTATAAATTGTTCTTAGTATGTATGTTTTTACCCGCGGAATCCCTCGAATAGTAAGTAGGATGGGGATGAAATTTACCCTACATTCATCCCCATGAGACAATCTACATCCTTGCCAAAATTCATGAAAATCTGTAAAGTGGTTTAAGTGTAAAATTTAACAGAGTTATTTTTACATTTATAAGATTAGTATGGATTTATTATTAAGTTTTTGCGAGTTGCGACCGGACGACCGGACCGATGACGATACTACAATATTAAATATAATAACGATCGAGACTAAAAAAAGAAGTACTCAAAACATTTAATCAATAAACATACGTTGACCTTTACAACTCTATTAATTTTTAATGAAATAATAACGTTTAGGTCAAACGTTAAATAAGTAAGAGGAGTAATCTATACATATAATAAAATTGTAACTAAGCAGAATCTGTACATTAGATATTTTTTGGAAAATCTTACTGAAATAAACATTATGATCGCTACGGCCGAATCTAGTGTTTAGAATTTTTGTCTGTCTGTTACCGCATCACAGAAAAACCACTGGAGGAATTTTGATGAAATTTGGTATGGTGATACCAGGTTATCCGGGTTAAAATATATATACTTTTTGACGCGGGAAAATATCTCATTTTCGAGAAAAAATACAAAAACTGCAATATAAGAGTACTAATGTGTAAAACCTAAGAATTTGGTTTTTGGTCATCTGAACGTAATGCTAGTTTTTATAATATGATTAATATAAAAAAGTTTTAATCACATTTTTTTTGTTTTGGCTTTTATCTAATATCCTACAACATAAAGCTTATAAATAAGCTTAATCTTTAATGTACTTTTTGGTCGTTGACGTTTGGAAAAAATTGTGAGATTATAATTTTCAAGTAAAAGAAGTAGTAAAATTAAACACCGACAGCCAAAAAGCGACACGATGAAGTTAGCTGATAACTGTTTGTTGCCATGGTAACCGTTGTTATTGTCTGACAAATGATATATAATATTATATTCTTTCCGTATATGATATTCTATAAATATATGATTGTAATATGCCTAATATGCCTTATTTAATTATTTTATTAATTTATTATTCCTTATACAAACATACGGGATGAAATCTTTAGATATTTTTGTTATATTACCTCAAAGAAGTATAACTTCTTAAGTGCGTAAATAAGTACACAACTACACACACACGTTTTTTTTAATTTACAGACAGACTAATCTTTATTTGAGTACATAAAACGTTTTATTAATCTCATGTAAATATGTTGAAAAAGTTATTCAAAGACGCAATCTCGAGAAACAGGTATTATAATGTGACAGTAAACACTAAGTTAAAGAAGAAAAATGTACCTCAAAAAGATCGTTCATTTATAAGTAACTGGCGACTTACGTCTCTAGATGCCCACCAGAAGCTTATATAATACTCCAGATCATAGTACATCTGTGTACTAAATTTCATCTAAATCTGTTCAGCCGTTTCTACGTAAAGGAATAACAAACATACATACGCACATACTTATTTTATAAATTAATAATAATTGTTTTAAGCCATTTAATCTCTGTAATTCAAATTTTAATATCTGTAAATTTAATTTTTCATTCTGAACGCCTCAATGATATGTGATAGATCCAATAAACTTCAAGTACGACGCATTTCAATTAAGGTTACATCACACGCGGTGCAGTCGGTTATTAATTAAATCGATGAGAAAAGCTAATGTAATATGCATTTTTGATTAATAAGTATTGTTAAATTTTTGTTAAAGTCGTATGTATTACTTACTGTATATAAAATCTATTTGTCAACGTTTTAAAATAACTTAAATATAGATTTATTATGATTTATGTTTTAAAATAACTTATATATAGATTTACACTCACAATCCGATTATAAAATCGGATTATTGTTGTAGTTTGTGTTGTTTACTTTTCCACGTTGCAACGGCTGGTCTTATTTGGATGAAATACAACTTGGAGTAATATAATATCCCATCAAAAACATTCTGTAAAAATATTGCAAGTCTCGCAACGCATTTCTTCTACCTCAAAAAGCTATGAGATGTAATGTAAAACCAAGTCGGTTAATTTATTCATTACCTATCTATGAAAGCAACTATCCGACAACTTTGTCATAAATCGTTACCGAATTAGTTAAGTTACAACATTTTATAGTGACCGTATTAATATTAGATATATTTATTTCTTTAATTAATAGAATGACTTGGCCATCGCACGGAAACATAATCACATAAGAGTCTACAACTTTAAATAGCCCTAATTAAACATATCATGACCGAGGTGGACGGACGACTTGGTCAAAGTCGCTGGAGCCCACTAGATGCGGATGGCACAAGACTGGTTGTCGTGGAACTTTTTGGGAGAGGCCTATGTCCAGCTGTGTGTGTGTTTGGGCTGAGATGAACTGAACATAGCACTAGCGGGTCAAATTTATGCATACACTAACATAAATAATGCACTCAGAACGCTAATTTTAGGTAAATTTTGTTATTTGTAGATTCTATTATCATGTGCGATGGCCAAGTCATTCTATTAATTAAAGAAATAAATATATCTAATATTAATACGGTCACTATAAAATGTTGTAACTTAACTAATTCGGTAACGATTTATGACAAAGTTGTCGGATAGTTGCTTTCATAGATAGGTAATGAATAAATTAACCGACTTGGTTTTACATTACATCTCATAGCTTTTTGAGGTAGAAGAAATGCGTTGCGAGACTTGCAATATTTTTACAGAATGTTTTTGATGGGATCTCATTTCTTTTTGTAAATATTTCTTCTTTTTCTCTTTTCTTGTACTTTTTCTTGTGTGTCAGCTAAGGACTTTTTAAAAGCCCACTCCTTGTCTCTGTGGGCTTTTTTCAGAGGCTTTGATATAGGTAACAAATTTTGACAAGTCTGGATGATAAAAAATCTAAGTCTATTGTATTGGGAAATTACGGACTCCTGGACTTTAAATACTACTATCTTATGCATTAAGAATAAATATGTATAGTTAATTTAACGAATATTTAAATTTCATTGTTGACCCTAAATACCTACCCCGATACTGATATTCGACTTACATAAGTTTAATAAGATGTATAGATTTATGTGTCTATCTGCAGCATCGTAGTTAAATCCCGAAAGTTGTATTCCATTCCATTTTAAAAGTAATTTTCGAAGAGATTGATATTTCATGACCTCTATATTCCATGTTCTAATAGGTGGGCACAGTTACGGGCAATGAAATGAGATGTTGAGAAGGTTTTCTAATTCATATCAATATCATACTTTGTAAAAGAAAATGTACGAGCTTTGTTTCAAAATTAAGTAATCGTCAAGTTGTTTCTTAATTAGGTATATATTTTAATCAATTCATTATAAATAACAGTAATCGAATATTAGTAGGTATAAACTATACACGCTTCACATTACATTTATGTACCCATTTGTATATGCATAAAAATGTATACAGCTACTAAAAAAGCTTAAAATATTATTTTCGCGTTTAAAAATACTTTTCTAATACATATAATTGCAAATATAAACATTAATAAATAGACCAATCGAAATTAGGTTAGTAATTACGAGGGAACATAGGATCGGACGTACAAACATACATACCTACAGGTAAAACACTAACCTAACCCCCTTTTACAGTGCAACTATTGTATAATTAATTTACCATTAATTATAAATTTTATAAGAATATATGAATAAATAAAAGTAAGATATCGGGAAATGAAAAAATAATATTTAATTTAAATAATGTAAGGAAAAAATAGTGTAAATTTAATTAAAATATTTTATGATTTTTAAACGAAATTTATATTTGACATAACGGCACAAATTAAGGCAAGCTATGATTAAGTTTATTTATATTATGTGCTATTTTATTGTGACCTATTATTTAAAAAAATACCTAAACCTTCTAGCGTTCCTTGACGTCGTTAAAGTGGAGAAATTGACTAACAAATTAAATACTTAGTGATAACAAACGGAACTCTGAGAAAGATATATTTTAAGTTGGATATTTAAGTTAATAAAATAATATATGAGTTATTCCTGTGTTTTTTTAACATGACTAAACTAAATATTGATAAATACATATTGTATGTATTAGTCAAGTAGAAGACAAACTAACGCTCCGAGGGCTCTGTACTTTTTTTTTATAGTTGGGAAATCCTATTACGGATACCACCCGAATTCCCCCGGGCGACTCTCGCTACGGAACACACGAGTGTTCGATTACTTGTATATTTTTTTTTATATTTAAGATCTTTTATACATATAAGTTTTAATTTATATATTAAATGTATTATTTCTTAAAACTCTTTACAATATTGATAATTACATTTTAGTCGTCGCTAACACTTACAGTATATCCACTATTTACCCTGCTATACATTTGGGTAGTTTAAGTGACGAAAAATGATATGTATGAACTGCAAAAATAACTTTGTAATCCCATATATCGCATATCTATTTGTATAGGAATACAAAGTTACTTATGCAGTTTGTATATCTCGAAAACAGGATTGAAATTGCATGATGTTTGAGTTTTTCCTTCCGTTATAGGCTAAACACTAATTGTGTTCAAAATTTGAAGCTCCTATGTCTGCTAGAAGTACCTTAGAATTTTGATGATCGGTGAGTGAGTGAGTGAGTGTGTGCGTGACGATATTAACGAATTTTGATCTGCAACAGTTCTTAAACTACAGGTTCAAATTGAATGTAATTTGGAAATATGCCTAGTTTTATTATGTTCTTTTAGTCACTGAAAATTCAGGCTTCTAGCTTTATCCATAACGAAGTTATGGGGGGGTGGAAAATGCTCTGAATCGCTTCGAGATAAGGATGGTACTGTCGTGCCCTTTTTTGCTCGACTTGGCGGGGGCACTCCGTGCCCCCCGATAAGCTACTGTTAGGTTAGGAACGCACTCAGTGAAACGAGGGTATATCGCTATATAAAACTACAAAATAAAAGTATCAGAACGACTCATACGATTGGGATATGCAATGGCGTATAGAGATATCGAGGATTTTGTACTAGGAAAAAATATCCCACGGGATGTAGTTCTTTGATCCGGGAAAGTATATTTCAAATTGTAAAACATATAAATTCACATTTTAATCGAATGCAATCAGATTTCCGAAAATACTTAATAAGACAAATATATAAATATTAAATAGTTAATAAAATTAACTCAAATATTTGACATTTTAAATAAAAGTATTTTTTTTTGTATTTTTTTGACGGTTTTACTTTGACCAAATGCTTATTGTGTTTCCAATGCTTTACAGAAATTTTCCGCAATGGTAAAGGGAGGAAAGAAAATCTATAAATACGTCAAAGTATAACCACGAAAAGATTCACAAAAAAATGTCTTATTTAAAACATTATAAATAATAGCAGAACCCGGGGCTTCGCTTGCGCTAAAACTACAAAAAAAAAGTAGGTTCACGTATTTATTTAATTGTAATCTCCCCCGGTACAAAAGTAGCCCGTGTCCTCCGTCCCCTCAACTATCTCCACATAAAAAACCATTCTATTCCATCACTCTTTTTCGACGTGAAAGAAAGACAAACAAACAAACAAACAAACAAACAAAAAAACACACTTTCACATTTATAATATTAATATGTATATGTAAATAATTAACTTTTATATTACCTGGGGCATGCATAAACGTAGCATCAGTATCTGGCAGCGGGCCGTCATACATTTGCCGTAGCACGTGCAAGTCGTACCCCGCGTCCCCCTCGCCGCCGCCCTCGTCTTCATACGCAATGATATTTTCTCTTATATCGTCTAGCTCCTTTTCTGCCCACGCATCTGCTCGCTTTCTGTGGACGACCACCGCTAGGAGGAGGACTGGAAATAATGTGTATTTTTAGTATGTTTTTTTATTAATTTTTATGGGAAAAAAAAATATTAGAAAAATATATGTACATATGTATATTCATTTAAAAAAATATTATATACATATGTATAATTAATTGATTAAATTGGTTCGTGTTAAAATTCCTCTGTATTATGATTTTTGTAGGTACAATAATTTAGCTTAATATTTAGTAAAAAAATAAAGAATATTTAATTCATTAAATGATATTACATAATTTAATCCAATATTCAATAACAATATTTCTATAAGTATTGTTAAATTACATTTAAAAATGTTTATGGCTACAAAAATCTCAAAGCTTTTAATCTATGAATATAAAGAAAGTACTCACTTATTAAAATCGCTATACAAACGAGAATAGCGACCAGGAAATTTGTGTCGATGCCAAAAGTGATTGCAGTAAATACACTCTTTTGACAGCCAGGATCGGCATTGTGTTCTACTGATGGTCTGCCCAAGTTGTACATCTAAGGAAAACAACAATAATGCCTATTATTTTGTCTTTTTTGACGACACGTTGGCTCAGTTTGTAGTACTTGTACTTGTTGTGCCAGCGGTCGCGGGTTCGAGTCCCTCTGGTGCATTCATTTGTGTGATGAGCACGAATATTTGTACTTCAGTCATTGGTGTTGATATTTATAATATGTATTTAAAGTTATATGTAGTGTATCAACTATCTGGTATCCATAACACAAGCCTCGTAGCTTACCATGGAACTAGATGGCGCTGTGTGTTAATGACCCAACATTTATTATTATTATTGTTATTATTCTAGGGTTCCGTAGATACGATGAGAAAACAGTAGCTATTCGATATGAACTCTTATGTAATAATATAATAACTGGTTCCGTGATTATGTTTCATTAAACTGTATAAAGTATGTTCGCGAGTTTAGCTGTCGAGTTACATAAAAGATTACTGAATAACAAACAGATCTCTAATAATATCTTTCGCATATCTATCTGTTGGTAGGTCACAGCTTATTTACAACAACTTTTTGCTAAGTATAAATTAAGCAAATTAGAGGAATTAATCAAGGAAGACAAATAAAAAAAACAAGTATTCTACACAACGTAAGAAATAGAAATAAAAGAAAACTTAATTCTTCATAAAAAAATACAGATTCTTATTCAAATTATTAAGAACACAAAAACTTATAAAATTAAGAAAAAATCCAAAACAAAAGACTTACAAAATCGTTATACGTAAAATTACTGATACAGCCCATAAAGTGCTGATTTGTGGGAACGTGCCGCCATCCGAACGATCGCGCGAGGCTCTGTAGATCTATACTAGCCCCTCCAAGCTGTAATGGCCCATTTACTGTAAACAAAATATGATGTTATAGAAAACAATACCATTTTGAAAATTTACACCCCAAGAACAAGTATTATCTTCTATTGATCGCTTATATACTAACTTTGTTAACGTGATATAGTTTGAAGGTTTATAGTAAACTATGAGAGTCAAATTCTCATAGCTTTCTGTATTTTTTGTACAATGTTACGGTCATACACGTTTTTATAATGGTTTTTCTTTATTATCATTCCATCTATACTCGTATATGTTATGTATGTATGTATGTAAAAATGAAATACCTTATTAGTCACGAATTCTCATAAAGTATAAATGTTATAAACTTGAAATTTAGAGAGGTATCTGCAAAGAATACTTTTTTGGAAATTCAACCCCAAAAAGTGGTTGGGAATTTGTATAAAAATCGGTTATTTTTATACTATGCAAGTATAGAAACAGGCAAATGCTAGTAAATAATAATCAATTCGCTATATACCGCGATTTTGATATAAAAAAGAAAGAGAAGAATAGTTTCATATATTTATTAATTTTCTATCTTCGCTCCAACAGAAAGAAGTACGTTAATAAAAGGACTTGATGACGTAAAGGACTTGATAGTTGATATCATAAAATTACTTATATTTTTAAAACGAACGCTAATACAAGGAAATTACTACAATATAGATGATATATGTATTGTTATTTTAAACTATATATTGCGATCATACATTGTTTTGTTAAAGAAAACTTCAAATACATCGATTTTAAATTTTTAGGTGATCACACGGAGCCTTCTATTTAAAACATGCAATGCCCATATTAAAAATAGATACCGTGTCTAGAGTTCGTTTCATTCAAATCCATTCAACCATTACGGCGTGATTGAGTAATAAACGTCCAGCGCCTAACTTTCATCAAAGCGTTAAATGTAAACAAGATTTTTGAATAGAAATCTGCTCTTAGGTCTTTTGAAGTTTATAGAAGAATAATTCTCAGAAGTCTACTATCTATCAATAAATGTTAGTAAAATAAATATAGTATGTCAGTAATAAATAATTACATATAGCATAGATTTTTGTATTTTTTTGTATATGACACATGTTTAAACATCAATAATATTGAGCCATTTTTACTCTGTCTTCATTTCACAGATTAGTATAAAACCTAAAACTGCTTTTATAACACTTTCTATCCTATTACGGAGCATGAATTCGAAATAAATGCATATAAATTATGAAATCATATATGGTACTTATAAGAAAAACGTTTTTTTTTTTAATTTGTCTGTCTGTTTGTTCCGGCTAATCTCCGAAACAGCTAGATTGATTTTGACGGGGCTTTCACTGGCAGATAACTGATGTTATAAGGAGTAACTTAGGCAACTTTCACTTTAGAAAAAGGAATAGGGTTCCTCTCATAAAAAATAAAATATGACTTACCATTTAAAATTTCCCTCGGTCCAGTGGGAGCTGCTAGGCTCATACAGGTTGACAACTTGCATCTATCTACAAACATTTCTATGGAACTTCTCATAAGAACGATCTCAATAAGATGCGGTTTGCCATCAGCCACGTGTACAACACTGTTGTTCAAACGAGTTGTGCCTGACCCGTAGTTAACTAGAAGAATCGGAAAGCCATCCACAAGTTCTAAAGACATAAAATCTGGAACAAAAGATATTTCATTGAACATTTTATATAACATGTTTAAGCAACATTCTGGTTTGTGCAGTTCAAGAGTTCGATGCCCGGATGAAGTAAATTTATTTAATAAGGTATTTTATCTTGATAATAACAACAATTTCTCATTATCAGAACTAAGAAATATATAAAGCTATACATATACGGTAAAGAGTAAGTTGTAGTATAACTTTTTTGTTAGTAAAAATAGCTTAGAAATGATTTAATAATTATAAAGGTTATGTACAAACAAACATATTTTTTTATTGAAATATAGTTAGCCTTGTTATAATGTAGTTGTTGTATACTTGTTAAAATGCTTAACGACTAGAGAAACTCAACAAAAATTGAATGCCACGAGAATCGGAACTAGGGTATAAGATATCGAACCAATTAAGCTTTGAATTGTTCACTGCGAAGTTCTTACTATTATTGTATTATACATCCTTTCAAGACCGTAAATTTAAAAATAACTTATTTTGAATATACTAAATAATAAAGACGACTTGAAAGTATTACTTGAAAGATTTATAATTTGTTTGTATTTAAAGTTATATATTTGTAGTGTATCAACTATCCATAAAAATTCCATATATCCATATGTATGGGTATCCATAACACAAACCTCGTAGCTTACGATGGAACTAGACAGTGCTGCGTGTTACTGTCCCAACATGTTTATTTATTTAGTTTAACCAAAATCTGAACATTCAATAATACATATATTCTACAACATTGGCAAAGCAGTCGTTATTTCAATTTAATTAACACTATTCAACATTTCTTAGAAGTTGTGAAGCTATTATGGGACCGCAATGTTAATGTGCAAATAACCTCAGCGTCAACAATCTTGGCCGAAGTTCAAGGATTATAAGGCTTTTAGTGTATTTTGGCGAGATACGAACTACGAAGCAACTCATTATTAGTAAATAATACCGTGTATATCACGTTCATCCCAACACATTTTCACTAAATAAACAGTTTTATGGTATACTACTAGAAAAACAAAAACAAATCTATCCCTCGGGAACCGTATATTTTTCCGGGATAAAAAGTAGCCTATGTGTTATTCTAGATAATAATCTATCTCTGTGCCAAATTTCATTCAAATCCGTTTAACCGTTCTGGCGTGAAAATGTAACAAACATCCATACTCACAAACTTTCACATTTATAATATTTATTATATTATTATACAAAATAATATTTGTCCACAGCTTCGCTCGCATAGTAAGTGTTTGACAATATACCTATAACAATCTATTTCCTTTTCAAACTTCACTCAAATTCGTTCAGCCGTGAAAGCGCGAAGAAGTCACAATCACAAACACACAGACTTTCGCACTTAAAACGTTTTAGTATGAAAATAATTCTAAAATTTTATTTTAAGCCAAGTCATACCATATTAATTTATATAACAAAAAACTAAATGCATCTACATAATACTGATTTTTAAATACATATATGGTGTTGTGATATAACTACATAATAAACCGCGGTCATGTTTTACAACATCCTAAAACGAATTGAATCGATATACCTATAATAAATTAATTCTACGCCCATTTATTATTTCTTGTAAGTCACGTGACACGCACCTACCAAGTTTTGGCATAGATGAAAGCACATCACATCAATTGTCTTAATTGAGTAACTCGATACTCGTATAACGAGAAATTCTAACACGAAACGTCAATTTCTGTACGCTATAACATTTCAAAAGATATTAATTACATATAAACATCATGGAAACCAGGGCAGCACAAACATTGTTATTGTATGGTAATAGGAACGTATTCACAAAATGTAAGTAACCGTGTGGAAAATAGGTGCTTTATCACGCGACAATAACTTTCATAAATCATAAGGCCTCTGCACGGTTGTCAGTCATTACGTGGTCATTAAAAAATCATTACAGTGACTGGGGAATGGGCCGGACTTGGCACGACAGTGTTATGTACTTGGTAGCTTTTATGCGATTGTAAGTTTGATTGGATCGTCAACTTTATCTATTTATATATATGTAGATGTAATTTCATTATTAGTCTTTCTACATTTTATGATTGCTACAGATTATTTTTATATATATTATTTCTTAAAAGATAGAACATTTGGGTTTATCATGTCTACTAATGACAAAAAAACAGACAGATTTTTTACAGATAGGTTTTGCTAGATAGCTAATCTCTTCGCCAGGCAGTGGTAGCCCAATGTTAAGGCGCTCGCTAGGGAAACCGAGTGAATCGAGTTCAAATCCCGGGTCTCGCACCTATGATATTTTCATGTGTGAATGATTTCCAACATGATTACCACTTGTCTTAACGGTGAAGGAAAACATCGTGAGGAAACCTGAGTATCTGAGAGAACCTAGCAAGTTTTCAAAGGGCATGTGAAGTCCGCCTATCCGAATTGGCCAGCGTGGTGGACTATGGCCAGATTCCCCTTGTACTGAAGGGAGGGCCCGTGCCTAGCAATGGGACGTTAAAAAGGGCTGAATACATACATACATACATACTCTTACATACCAAGATTTTAAACTTATATAAGCAAGTCATTATTTCATTCCAGAGTAACTCTTATATCTCTTCGCCACTATATATTATACTATATTTACTATTATTTATTTATTATATATACAATTATTTTGTATATACATTTAGTTAGTAAAATAGCATAAAGAAATAATGAGTAAACTCTAGCTTTACGTTGTTTTAGGTATAACTTTTCATTAAAAATAAAACCATATATCAAATATGAATTTTAATTATATGAGCTAGTTAAATATAAATATAATTACATAAAGTTAACAATGCTATCCTTATATCAATAGCTATCACTGTTCCTAAGACAACATTCGTGCATAAATTATAAATTTGGGTTAAAATATTCCAAGTGTACTCTCAAAACTCACGTATTATACACCCCTTTCAACGTGAAATAAAAACACCTTTTGCGTATTAGTGGGCTATTGTGGATTTTGTCGGAAATCATTATTCAAGTTGTTACGCCAATCAACTTTTGACATATTTATTTATTCATTTATTCATTCATTCATTCACTTACTCATTCATTCATTTATTTATTTATGTTTATTGATCCACAAAATAAATGACAATCAAACACATATAAAATAAAAGTAGCTTGCAAATTTAATACACAGGATTGCATTTTTCTAGATGCAGACACAGCATGCAACAAAACTTAATATAACAAAAAACGAGATTTAACCTACGGTAACAAATAGGAACGGCTTTTATCTACTAACAATAACTAAAAAACTTTAAAAGAATATTATATTTATCGTTGAGTCGACACTGTTCAGATTTTTTTAAATAAAATTATCTTTTCGGATTATTTCGCGGATTTATTTGGATTTTTGGTTCCCCACGTTTCGAATCCTTTACAGCATTTATGGTCACGAGAGAGACTGAGATGTTACATGTCTCGAAGGTATAGTTATTAGGCTGTCAGTAATAACTGTTTTATTTAAAATGTCAAATATTCGCGTAAATTTAAGAAAGTATTATATTGTTCAGATTTCTTAAGTCACTTTTATTTAACGTCTGCTTCAGACGATCGCCAAATACTTTCATCGTAAGCGAGTCTATCCTCGGATTGAACGACAAAGAGAAGATAACGGTAGATTCTGAATGAAACTCTTTAAACTTTTTCGCCCATGTTATACGGTACTTTGTATTGTGTGACAAAGCTATTACAGTTTTAAACAGTTTAAGGCGCCTGGATATAGGATAATCCTGCTATAATCTCTACTATTTGTGATAGCCGGGACCATTGCACTTAAAAATAAATATATACGGCAAGCTATTTCCGTAGCATAACACCTTAACGCTTATGCCTTTATTCGTAGATACGAAGGATGGAGGAACGTACATTTACCATGTTGTACTTTATTTTCATACATAACTTCTTTTAGTATAATCTATACATATAATAAAATTCTAATTCAGTCGAATCTGTACATTAAATATTTTTTGGAAAATCTTATTGAAATAATTATTATTATTGATACGGCTGAATCTATAGTTTTTAGAATCTGTCTGTCTGTCCGTGACCGCATCATGAGAAAACCACTGGACAGATTTAGATGAAATTTGGTATGATGATAGCTGGTTATCCGGGTCAATAGGATACTTTTTACCGCGGGGAAATATCTCATGTCTGAGAAATTTATACTAAACATTAAAACGTAATAAAAAATGATTACTCCTAACATAATTCACTGTGCTTTGGGGTTATAGTAGCTACCCAACATATTTTATGTTAATCAGAATGGGCCAGAAACATACACCCAAAGACTGTAGTCATTATTTTCTTATTTTTAACATTTCTGACTACACGTTTGGCTCAGTTTGTAGTGATCCTACTTACTGTGCTAGTGGTCCCGCTGGGGGCATTCATTTGTATAGCACGAAAATATTTACAATATGTAATAAGTATTTAAAGTTATTATTGTGTAGTGTATCAACTATCTGGTATCCATAACACAAGTCTCGTAGCTTACCATGGAACTAGATGGTGTTGTGTGTTAATGTCCCAACATATTTATTTATTTATACTATAATACAAAAGTAAATAAAACAATTAGCAGAGCGACAAAAAAATTAAGCAAAAGCGCCCATAAAATGTTTTTTTTTGCCCACAATTTCAAACCCAACAACGTATATTCTCCACAAGTAGCTACAGAACGTTTAACCCCAGATTAGTTCAAAATCAAACTAAACCAGGATTTCAGATATCGTAAGTGCATTCGACACAAATTAACTGACGTATCTGTTGCGACAAGTGTGTGCAATCCACTTAACGGTATTGCCAATTTGGCAACGCGAGAAGAAATATTTGCTCGCTAGCTAAAGCCTTGCCAAAGTGCAAGTATATATTTCTCTTAAGATATTTATCGCGCTACTTAATATGTAATGAAATATTTCTACAATATGTTTTGGTGTTATTTGATCAGCTTTTATTAGCCTAAAATTTTGTCTGACAATGAGATTTAGTCTGTATGACCTGTTTACTGCTGGAAATTGTGGTTTTGAGACAATCTACATAATGATATGATGCCGAAATTGGTTATCTTTGAATAAAAATAAAATTTTATTCAAATAGACTTATTATAAGCACTTTTGAATCGTCAATTTAATTTAAAGAGCGTCAGCGTAGTCAGGCCGTGTGGTCGCTGTTTTTGATTACAATGTACGTCTAAACGGAGCATTTGTGCTACAAATTTATTAAACTATATAAAAATGCGTATTCCCTAACAACAGTATTTGACGATTTTTAAGATCAGAATGAAGAATCACGTAGACGGAGTCCGCCAAAATAAATGTCGAAATGAAAAATAATAGTGTGTTTTGCTGTCTGTGCTACTTTCTTGATTTTGCAATACAGATCCTATACTATTAAATAATAAGGGAAAGATAACATACAATTTTCAAGAATAAAATATGAATGATAAAAATAATATTTTTTTTTGTATTTGTGAGCCTTAGTTCTCTTCTTCTTGAAAAAGAGATAACATAATATTCGTCTTTTTAATTATTTTACTTTATTATAATAAAATCCTTTATTTTTTATTAAAATTTATTTACTTATATCTCAGTAACATACAAATTGTCATTTGTATACGATCTTAAAACACTACGGTTTGGTTTCATGTTTAGTTCTATGAAACTGTCTATATCTATGACACTCGTTAGTCTAAGACCTAAGTCAATAACGTATTGTAATCTATACATATAATAAAATTGTAACTAAGTCGAATCTGTAAATTAAATATTTTTTGGAAAATCTAATAGAAATAGACATTATTATTATATTATTATCAATACAGAGTCCGAAACTATAGTTTTTAGAATTTTTGTCTGTCTGTCTGTCTGTCTTTCTGTCTGTCTGTCTGTTACCGCATCACGAGAAAACCACTGTACAAACCACCACGGTTTACCACGGGAAAATATCTCATTTCTGAGAAAAAATACAAAAACTGCATTGTAAGAGTATATAGAGTGTATACTACTATGTAAAACCTAAGAATTTGGTTTTTGGTCATCTGAACGCGGGCGGAGCCGCGGGCATTGCTAGTTTGGTATATATCTAGATATGGTATAGTCAAGTTACGAAACACGCTATACCGTCTAGGCTTACAAAGTAAATGCCTCAGAGGTGTAATGACCTAACATAGATTCCTTTATAAGATAGTATTATTGGATTACTTAAGGCGCCCATTAATCATAAGCTGAAATTCAAACACGAAAGGTATCGCCTATTTCTCCATTTACACCATATATTAATTTGACATAACATTAGTCATTCATGTCTATATATTATAATAACTCCAAATAATAACTAAAAGCCTCTTAGCCTACTTCAGGCAAATTATCTATGACTTTCTTACCAAAAGAAATGAAATTTTGTACTTAATATGTATATATATGTTACAGTTAGAACACTTTTGTGGTCAACACTACTTTTGACTGCAGGCCTTGGTCAATAGCAGTTTGACTGGCATATCGGCCAAAACTGCTCTAACCAAACCTAGACTCACTCACTGTTTTAACCAACCTAACCTAAAGCGAAAGAAAGGGTTCTTCCGAGTAACTTTCAACCTACTTACCTCCTTAATTTTTTAAGCGTTTTTAACGATATGACAGTCAAAACTGCTATTGACCAAGGCCTGCAGTCAAAACTACTTTTGACGAACCTCTTTAGTCAAAAGTAGTTTTGACTAAAAAAAAATTGTTTTGACTGTGACATATCTACATATGTATGCTATGAAACAAAAATATTATATTTTGGACAACGATCTATCAATATAAAAAATCATTTCAATTGGCAATGCGCTCATTTGGAAATTTAAATGAAGCGGGTCTCCTACTTCTGAATCTTATTTTCAACATCAATACCACCTTCTAAAACGACGAAAGAAAACAGAGTGAGAAAATTGAATATTTTCTATATCTATTCTATATTTCTTTATTTGTCATACATAGCCACTTTCATATAAAAATTCTAACATATGGCCTGCCTTGGACTATGTACTAGGTGTCTCTAGATCTGTGCTTAGCAAGGACACGTCTAGGCTTATAATTTTTTACATACTAGTCACTTGCGTCGTCGTTGCGTTGCACTCGGGTGTGTCACTAGGTACGTTTTAAATAGATATAAAAAGTTAAAATCGGTTCAGTACTTTTTGCGTGAAACTCACCAGATCCACAGACAAACAAACATTTTTTTTATGAACTAGTTGTTTCTGGGTCTATATGCTGTATATATATATATATATATATATATATCGCTAAGTTATTATTTCATTATACAATGTATCGATTTATTATAAAGGTAGGCGAAAACATGATTAAAATATAATTAAGTTTATCAGTAATACATCAAATTTTCTTCAAATACATCTTAAAGCAATGCAAACCGCCAAATTTTGAAGAACCCATCAAGCATTTCATAATCTTATAATTTTAAATAAACATTCTGGTAATATACTACATTATTCATGTATCTCAGAAACGGCTCTAATGATTTGGATAAAATTTTGTATACAAGGTTTTGCTATTTAAGTTTATCTATATAGGTGTCTTTTCTGAAAAAAAAAACCTACTTTTACATTTTTCCCGAAAAAACACGATATTATAAAACGCTCGGCCGTCGAGGTCTCAGTATTTAACGTAAATCCAATTTGTTGTTTAATAGAAGCAATAGAATGGCTGTTTGTGTTTTGTTAGTATTTGATAGGTGTTAGTAGATTATGGATCGCTCATTGTTCTGAATAATTGTTTGTTAATCTCAACTAAATATCGATTCTAAAATAAGTTCAGAATAATCTATACTAATACTATAAAGAGGTAAAGTTTGTGAGTTTCTGAATTGTGAGTTTGTAACGTTGCAGGGGGTAATCTCTAGATCTACTGAACCGATTTAGATGAAATTTGGTCAGATAGTTTGAGACCCTAGAAAGGACAAAGGATACTTATTAATCCGGAACTCATCCCTTAAAGGGGTGAAAATGGGGATGGAAATTTGTATGGGGAATCAACCTAGGGATGAACCCGAGCGAAGCGAGGCTGAGTCACTAGTACTGTATTATTAGGTACATATACATTCCCCCCATGTGCGTACCTTGTCGTAATGGGGGACTCATTAGCGTCCGGCAGTTCAGCAAGGCACGAAGCCAAGAAACGCACAGTGGAGGTGGCCCACTTCGGTGAGCGGTGTACCTACCATGCGGGTTGTTCCTGGTACTTCTCTGTCGGCAGAGTGGACCTCGGAGCAACCCCATGGATGTTGTGGTCTGCTTCGGCAGACCTGCCGTCGGGGCGTCGTGGTTGAAAGCGTAAGTAATCCTGCGACGCCCCATTAAGACGGGGCAAGTTTTGTTGGGTTTTAGTGAGTAGTGCTGGCTTTTATAGGCGGTGAGTCCCACATAACCACCTGTATCTCTACAGGTGGTACAACATTAAAACAAAAGTACATATACTCGTATATTATACATATTATAAAATTTCATATTAATGTACACCGAAGTCTTTCTAACTATTTAACATCTATGTAAATCTAATTTATGTCATAGAAATTGATGGAATCTTTTTCCAACAATTGCCACTCTATATTATTAAAAACTAGCGACTAACCCGCGCTTCGCACGGGATCATCGGCTTCGTCCCTAGGTACGTCTTAACGGTTAGTATGAAATGGATAGACTATATATTAGCTATATCTATACATATAATAAAATTGTAACTAAGCCGAATCTGCACGTTAGATATTTTTTGGAAAAACTTATTGAAATTAGAATTTTTGTCTGTCTGTCTGTCTGTCTGTAACCGCATCACAGAAAAACCACTGCAGGGATTTCCATGAAATTTAGTATGCTGATAGCTAGTTATCCGGATCAATATATAGGATACTTTTTACCGCAGGAAAATGTCTTATTTATGAGAAAAAAATCATAAACTGCAATGTAAGAGTAGATTAATATGTAAAACCTAAGAATTTTGTTATTGGTCAGGTCCGCGGGCAATGCTAGTGATATAATATAGTCTATAGCCTTCCTCAATAAACGGGGTATCTAAACCAAAAAGATTTTTTTAAATCAGATTAGTAGTTTATAATATTAGTATAGATATAGTATAGATTAAACTTATATGAAATGAAGTTCGATCTCCGCCCACATATAAATAAAGGAACGATTAACATTCGCAGATGCGAAAATCCCAAGATCAAGAAGAGCGTGGGTTTATAAGATAGATATAGTATTTTTCCATATATTTAATGCTTATCCTTGTGGGTTTTTTTGTTATGTTATAAAAGTATATATTATCTCCGAATATGATTTTAATATATTATAAAATTTAAGATTTCAATCTTTTATTTTGGCTATACAAATATGTTGTTTAGTTTGTGAATGTTTGAAGATGGATTCCAAACCTAATATTATGAATGTGTGTGTAACTCTGTCTGTCTGTTGCCTTTTCACGCTTAAACTGTTGAACAGATTTTGATGAAATTTGACGGAGCATAGATAGCGACTTATTTTCAAAATTATATAATTAAAAACATTCAAGTCTGGGTGTTGGTTTGTCCTGTTTTGAAATTGTTCATTTCCGATACAAAAAATCACTCTCGGGAGGTATTATTATATATTAAATAAAATAAATTCAACTTAAGCAGAGGTCCCATCCTGCCCTTTTTGTCATTCCACTACTAGGCACGAGCCTCTCTCATCGAAGATTGTGTGAAGGTTTAAGCCATAGTAAATCATCAAGTGATATAAACAGAAATTACTAACCTTGCACATCTAGCAACGGGTTATACTTCAGCGGTCCTACATAGAAGATAAGACTGTTGCTAGTATGCGAAGTCACAGTGAGTGTGACGTGTCCCTCGTGGCAGGCGGGTGGTGCAGGATACATCGCCCATCCATCCCCATGAAATCCTATACTTGTTTGCTCGCAACGAGGACCATTCCAACCCTCGGGGCACTCGCATTTATCCGCGAATGGTGTACCTGTTAAAATCATATCTCATATATATATTAAATATTTAATTAATTAAAAAAAAATTATTATCTGTTATCTTTTTTCTACAGAAGTAATTGAAAACGATAGTTTGAGTACTTCTTTATTTAGAAAAAAAACAGATGAATGATAGTATATCTAAAGAAAATATAATATAATTGTTTTTTTTTAAATTAATTTTATTAAAAGCGTTAGTAATTCGTTTTAAGCGTATACGATGTTAAGATATTTTCATTGGTGTTTTGTAAGTTCTTCTGTCTCTTTCTCCTGCTGTGTTTTTATAAGTTACATTTATTCCTTATGATACATGACCTTTAGTGATACATATGACTACATCAATGTAATGTTCGCAGAATAGAAGAAACTATACTTTAAAAATATCAACATCTATATTAACCATTTGACGACAAGTTGTCGTGACACTACTTGGTGCGCAAGCAGTCGCGGGTTCGAGTCCTGCAGGGAGCATTCATTTGTGTGATGTTTGTACTTCAGTCATGGGTGTTTATATTTATAATAAACGTGTAGTGTATCAACTATCTGGTATCCATAATACAAGCCTCGTAGCTTACCATGGACCTAGATGGTGCTCTTTTGTTAATGTCCCAACATATTTATTTTAGTACTTCTCGACCATAATAATCTAAATAATTAAGTATAAAATGATTTTGGGTTACATTTTAACTTTTCATTGAACGAATTCAATGAAAAACACAAATCCCTAAATGAAAATTATTAATACTTCAAATATTTAACTAAACCGTTACAAATAACCAATTAATCTACGGAATAGCTGATTATAGCAAATCCAGTAACATTTAAAAAGCTATTACAATAAGCCTAATAACATTCTACTAATTAAATATAGATTGGCATCGAAACCCCAATTGATATAGCTTCGATTACTAACTGCTCTTTTAACAATCTCATTGAGCGAGGGGACAGATATATATCTATATTTATTAATACGAAACAAAGTTTGTAATTTTTTATATTCACTTAAAAATTGCAAGAAATAAATTAAATATCTATATGTCAAAACAGGTTTTTTTAACTAAACGATTAAAAAAATAGTTAAATGTGGAAATTGCCTCTAAAATACGACTAAAGTCACAGGCTACCCCCAGTTTCACCGATGTGACCCAATATATACTCGTATATTGGGTCACGTCGGTCCTACATTTTCAATCAACCTATTTGAAAGTTAATCGCTAATCCGATAATTGTTTTGTTTAGTTTGATTACAAACGCTTTGTGCTAGATCCACTGGCGAAATTAACAAGCTTATACTTTGTGCCGGATAAGATTCAATTTTAGTTGACTACTTCTTTATTAGATTAGTTCATGGTCTTTCAACATGCAACATCTTGCTTTGCCTGTCTGTACGTAGATTTGTGCCGAGTTCTAGAGCTTTTCACTTGAGCAGGAAATTAATGTTACCTGCGAAAGTCTAACGTACAGACTAATAGCACAATCAGATTAACAATTCGAATGTTATCATCAAATTGGACTAAAACAGTATCTCTGTTTATTCTAGTATATCTATACTTATATTATAAAGAGGTAAAGTTTGTGATTTTGTGAGATTGTGAGTTTGTGACGATGTAGGGGATAATCTCTGGATCTACTGAACCAATTTAGATGACATTTGGTAAGAAAATAGTTTGAGACCCTGGGAATGGCATAGGATACTTTTTATCCCGGAAATCATCCTTTAAGGGGGTGAAAATGGGGATGAAAGTTTGTGTTGGGAAGCAAGCTAGTGACGAACCAGAAAAGAGAAGAGAAGCACTCATTTTAAGAAGAGTTTGTTCAAATCATATGTTAATAATAATAATGCGTCTCATTTTCAATACACAATAACATGACTGATTATAAGAGTTTACATCAGCTTTTATGTATTACATATTTATCATATTTATACAATTCATTCTAACGTGGCCATGATTGCTGTAAAATATTCGAAACTTCGGGAAAACAATAATTAAAATGAATTCGCCAAAATTTATTTAAAATGTTAGATATTCGCGTAAATCTGACATATTACTATTTATTTAATTAGATAAAAAGCCATCGTAAAGACAACATAATTTAACTCACCTCCGTTCAAACAGATGAGAGGTTCATCCACTTCGCAAGTACATTCGGACTCGACTCTCGCTGAAACACCCACAAAGCTCGTAGTATTCGTGTACACGGAAAGAGGGACATTGTTCTTCATTAATACATTTCGACACGAATCTTCGCATTGTTCTTTTTCTATCAAACACTCGTCGATCTTCACCATATATATCTTCGCATGTAGTTCTTCTTCCAGCTAAAACATAAGATTATTATTTATTAAAACTATTAACTTTTTATAATAAATTTCACGAATCACGAAAAATACTTGATAGACGGAAATAGAAATTAGGCTATAACATATTCATTTTTTTTATTCAATCCATCCAAGTCTAATCCTGCAAAAACACAGAACTCCGTATTTTGTGGCAGAAGCCATCGCCGCAAGTACTCTTAAGCAGGTCGAGCTAATATATGGAGACTAGCGGACCCGACAGACGTTGTCCTGTCTACACGTCTTTAATTTGAAAATTTCAAACTTTTTTTAATAATTTTTTTGATGAAAATTATTATTCAAATTGTGAATCTAAACCATTCCCAGATCCCCTTGAACACACACAAAAAATTTCATCAAAATCGGTCAAGTCGTTTGAGAGAAGTTCAGTGACATACACACTCACAGAAGAATTATATATATAGATATATAGATCAATAAAAACATACATAGATCAATCAAAAAATACTTAATTTATCAAACAAATATTAAAATTACATAATTTAATTACATTTTTTTTGTTTGGAAATATTTTCTTTTAAATTTTTGAGTTGTTTTTTAATTTAAAAAAAATCTATTATAATTTTAATTAAACTACTATTAATTAAACTATCTATAATTTAAAAAAAACTATCAAAAGAAAGTTTTTCGGAGAGCAAATATTTTTACCGACCTAAGTCTAACTAATACAGTACATATCGCAGTCAATACATTTCAGTTTTCAAATTATTTAAAATATGTTAAAAAACTAGATTGAAATCGCTTTATCCGTTCGGGAGCGACAGACAGACACAGACAGACACGTGAAACTTATAACACCCCTCTTTTTGCGTCGGTGGTTAAAAAGGGGTTAAATATACCTACGTAGGATAATACAAAGGGCAGTTTTACTATAATATATCTATCTCAAAATTACAGACATTTTATTATGATAAAGATAATAATGCAGAAATAATTTTGTAAACTAAAATAAAATGTAACGCAAGTTCTTCGTACAGAACTATTTCAATTTGAGAAACTTGTCTAAGAACGCGGGCGTTTTAGTATTCTGCGAAGTGACTACATAGTTTTTCAGCAAAATTTGCTTTTAAAAGTTATTACATACTAAGAAGCGAGCGTAAGTTTATTCACATAGATGAAATTGAGAATATTTGACGTGGTTTCTTACTTCTAAAAGACGGGTCTATCATACCTGGTCAAACATTTCTAATAATAATAAATTAAAAATTAAAAAAAACCCCTACGCAACTTAATTGTCCTTTAACGAGTACACTGGCACGCGTGAAGCACTTATTCGAGTAATCATACGCCAAAATGCCTTACATCATTTTGGAAAAGAGCTGATACTTTTACACTGCTGGACCGATATTAACCAAACATAGCTAAGAACCACCGCAAGGCAACTGGCTTTCAAATGAAAAAAAAAACGCATCGAAATCGGCACATCCGTTTGAGAGCTACGATGCCACACACATACACAGGCAGAAAGATATCGATATCAACATTTTTAAAACACCCCTCTTTTTGAGTCAGGGGTTAAAAATGATTAACATTATTTACTAAGACTGAAAGTACTTTGAAAACCAGAGAGCGTTTCATTACCATAATATTATTTCGATTTTTCAATAATAAAACTATAGATCCGTATTTTTTTAAATTTATATTGGACCACCTTTGACAAATAATCTTTAAAAAAATTGATTGAAAGATATGTAATTTCATTTAAAATGTCAAATATTCGCGTAAATCCAAAAAAGTAAAGAAAGTATTTAACATCTTCACTGTCACCTTTTCCTATTTACTTCTATATTTATATAACAACTAGCAGAACCCGCGGCTTTGCTCGCGCTAAAACTACAAAATAAACTAAAAGGTAGGTTTCATACAAACTTTCATCCCCTATTTCACCCTCAATGTGGGATGAATGTTATTTCATTGTATTGAAGAGCATTAATAGCAAGTTTCAAGTAATTCTGATCATAATTATTTTTTGGGTTGTATCTGTATATTGATCTTCCGGGGTAAGAAGTCACGCTTATATCACTCTCCAGCCCTCCAACTATCTCCATGCAATCCGTCACTTTGTTTCGTCGTGAAAGAAGGACAAACGAATAAACAAGCACACTTTCACATTTATAATATTAAAGAATGGATAATGGATATAGATATAACTACACTTTTTTACTATTATTCTTAAACCCTAAATTGTTACATAAACAAACAAACAAATCATTCTAGAGTATACCATAAAATAACATATATATATGCATAAGTCAAAACATAAAACTTGGTCTTATTCCGCTCTATCCCAAAATCCTCCTCTGAATTTGGCAAACGAAGCGAATGTCCAATAAAACCTACTGACTTCTCTAAGAAAATTGATTTGTAGATATGAAATCTTAGAGGGAAATATTTTTGGTTTGGAAAGAATTTGTAATTCCTACATACATTTAAAGGTATGGTAACAAAAGATTTTCTTTTCATTAATTTCTTTGAATACCTGCTGGTTCACAATGCGATTTACCGAAGGTGGCTTATCTGTGTTATTGAAGCAGAATAGGTACTTGAAATCGAGACATTTTAATAAAATGGGTTATTTCGTGCAATTTTACTAGGTAAATGCATTTTGGCCCTTTTATCCATTTTCAAAACTGTGTAAAATAAAATATTTTTCTGTTCTTGTTTGTGTATGTTATACGATATGAAGGCCAATTATGATTTTGATTTTCACAATTGTTATTTTTTAATACATAGCCTATAAATCAAGATATTATTAATTCATACGGTGGTCCATATTGATAAATATTATTAATCTATAATACATTAAAAAAACTATAAACATCCGAATTGAGAACCTGCTCTTTTTTGAAGTCGGTTAAAGAGACCGTTAAATAATGCTTCTTACCATATGCCTGGATAAAATACATAGACGGTAATGAAGTACTTATTTACTCTCCATATAATAAACTAATATAAGCATTTAACGCAAAGACAGTGGTAGGCCAGTGGTAACGCGCTCGCTTGGGAAACCGAGTGAAGGGAGTTCAAACCCAGGGTCTCGTACCTCTGATATTTTCATGTGCGAATTATTTCCAACATGATTACCACTTGTCTTAATGGTGAAGGAAAAACATCTTGAGGAAACCTGCATGTTTGAGAGAACCTAGCAAGTTTTCAAAAGACATGTGTGAGACTATGGCCTAATTCCCCTCGTATTGAAGGGAGGTCCGTGCCCAGCAGTGGAACGTTAAAAAGGGCTAAATACAATACAAACATTTAACGGTTTGTTTTTTTAAGCGCTAATCTCCAGAACTACCTTTTAGATGGGAATATTATTGTATTATACAACCTATGAAATAAAGCCGCAAAACCGCAGGCATAAGCTAGTTATATTATATATTCGCTCAGTAATACCAGTGTAATACTTCAGGAAGTACATATGATTTATCATGGCAAAATGATACTATACGGTCGATATTGCACTCAGTATGATAATTAAACGAACATATAGATACGTATAGCGTATCCTCTTCATAATGTTAACGAAATTCTAAACTGGATATCTGGTGGAAGTTTCATATACTAACGATGCCATTAGAACGCTTTGATTCAAATTGTGTAGACGCAATGCTTTATAAGTAAACTAAAATCGAATTAAAGTATCATTATTTAACAATGGCTGCTTTCATTCAACATTTGTTTTGTTTTTTATAAGGAAAAATTGGTTATTTTTGGTATCTGTACGCCATATTTAAAGGGTTTTATAGCACTTTAATGACTGAAATAATTTATGCTGTTAAAGTGATTCTTTTTAATACAAAGTATATATATCTATACATATAATCAAATTGTAAGTCGAATCTGTTCATTAAATATTTTTTTGGAAAATCTAATTGAAATAGATATTATTATCGATACGGAGTCCGAATCTATAGTTTTTAGAATTTTTGTCTGTCTGTCTGTCAATTCAAAATTCAATTAATGTCTGTCTGTCTGTTACCGCATCACGAGAAAACCACTGGACAGATTTTGATGAAATTTGGTATGATGACAGCTGGTTATCCGGGTCAACATATAGGATACTTTTTACCGCGGGAAAATATCTCATTTCTCAGAAAATATACAAAAACTGCATTGTAAGAGTATACTAATATGTAAAACCTAAGAATTTGGTTTTTGGTCATCTGAACGCAGTCGGAGCCGCGGGCAATGCTAGTATATATATATTGCTTAACAGTCGTCACCTATCCTATTGTAGGCCGCTTTATCTCTTAATTATTACATTCTATTGAATACTTATTAACACGATTTTACTAGTTCATATGTAATTTTATAATCAAATCTGGAAAATGTGAGTATGAGTGTGAAATTGTGATTTGAATTTAATTTGATACGATCGTGATGATGATGAAGCTACAAGATAAATAGATACAAGATAAAAAATTCAAGTTTGACTTGGTTGCTCTCATTTCCATTGATGCTTTGACGATTCTCATAAATTATAATCGTTCAGAGCATTTTTTTTAGATAAAATTATAATCATTACAGATTATATGTTAATGTTACTAACATCTTAAAGCAATACTGTAAAATTTTCTATTATTTGGAAATGCAATAGTATGGCAGCTATTTGTTTAGCTTAAATGGATTACGTTGTGTTTTGCTGTGACATCGAGTTAATCCTTAAAGTTTCTAAATGCTTCCAAGGTTCAAGGTCTTGACATGTTGAAATTAATTCAAACGCACCATATCTATTAGGATTAAGTTTGTGGCGTAAATGTCAAAGAAACAAAGGCCTTATTATAAATTATTTAGAGGTAAATCTACATGAGACTATCTCGTATCCATACTAATATTATAAATGTGAAAGTGTGTTTGTTTGTCTTTCTTTGACGTCGAAACAGTGTGATGGATTGGCGTGATTTTTTGTGTGATTCATCCCTAGGTGAGTTTTAACGGTTAGTATAGATTTCTCGGAGATGAGATATTTTCCCCCAGTAAAAAGTAACCTATATGTTAACTCGGATACCAGCTATCGTCATACCAAATTTCATCTAAATTTGTCAAGTGGTTTTCTCGATATGCGTTCTCAGACAGACAGTAGACAGACAAATTTCTAAAAACTATAGATTCGGCCTCTGTATTGATAATAATGATTATTTCAATAAGATTTTCCAAAAAAATATTTATTAATCTACAGATTCGACTCAGAATTTTATTACATAGAGTATAGATTTACTTTTTTAAATGGACGAAGAGTTATTAAATATGCAATGACAAATAAAATCGGCATAATTTTAAAATCCGACATAAAGGCAGCGCAAATACCTAATGAACATTAATTAGCTAATTAATACAGTTGATACAATACTCAGACGCAGAGTGGTTTTAGTATAGACTGTTCAAAATTGCACAAAACTGCATGTTAAGTTTGATTCAATAATGAAAAGTTTCATAAAAGAAAAATATATACGAGTTATTTCATGTTCATAATATAAAAAATGCTAAGTTATATTTCTATTCTTCCACGAACTAAGCGTAATTAGGTTTTAATATATGGGGTATATATTAAAGCAGTTACCGCTTATTATATTTAATTAAAGTAATATAAAGAAAAATATGCTCAATTAACACGCCTAAAAACCATAAACATAAAAAATATATAATGATAATAAAATAAAACAGTCTAACATTGAATATTATTGATGATCTCCTGACCGATTCCGGACACGGCGGCCAATCTCATTGAGACTAGCCAACTGTGCAGGAGATATTATAGTGCAGCGCATGTGAGAGAGAGCGCAGACACAACGTGCACTCTCTATTCCTGTCACTCTCATACTCCGGTGGGACGACACTCTACACGACCAGTGAGAGTGTCGGCGCAGGACCGACGGCTTAACGTGCTCTCCGAGGCACGGGGGTGACACACCGCCAACTTCCCAACTTCGGGCTGATGCTGAGGCTTACTATACACAAAGATTCAATAGCTAAACTTGGCCCGACCTGGGACTCGAACCCAGGACCTTCGGGTGTGCAGCCGTACATGCTAGCCACTACACTATCGAGGCAGTTTGAATATTATTATTAACATAAAACACACATACCTTTTCTTGAATCCCAATAACCATGCTGTCCAACTTCTCTGCTTCGAAGTACGGCGAACCGTGGGCAGAGAACCGGACGTCCAAAAAAGCATCTTTCACAGTCAATTTGCTAAATACCGTAAATACGTCTACATTGTCCATTGATTTATTGTAGAGTTCAGAAAGACGACGATGTAACTTGTCCTTTTTACTCGTACCCTGAGAACAAATGAGTTGAATGAACTTTGAAACATAACGAATTGTTCGTCTTTTATGTACGCTGTTGTGCGTTATTGGATAGTAATATGAAATTATCATTATTGTTATAAATAAACATAACACATCGGCGCAGTGGTAATCATTAAGCTTAAAAACTTAAATATTGTTGTTATCAATATATAAAAAAATATATAATTTTAATACTTTAAAACTATTTTTTTTTATTTTCTCTAGTTTTATCTTAATAATTTCTTAGATTTACACGAATATTTGGCATTTTAAATAAAACTATCTTTTAGGATTATTTCGCGGATTTATTTTGATTTTTGGTTCCCTAGACGTCTCAAAGGCATTATTTATCTTTAACGTGTATAAAATGCGTTGTATATGTCAGTCCCATCGTATCTTAATCTAAGTACAACATCACGATACTTTCAAACTTTGTAAGGTAAAAAATCAAGATATAAGCTTATTCTTTTCAACAATCAAGTTAACATAAGAATGAATTAATTAATTTCTATATATTATGTACAAAACTAAGCTCATCTCAATACCTTTTACAACAATAAAGAAAAAAATCTAATCGAGGGATGATATATATATATATATATATTTCCATAGCCCCATTTATAATTAAATGTATACATAATCCAAATTTAATCATCGCACCATTGCAGAGATGTCGGTGCGGTCGAAAGCCAACAATCGCTTGAGACCCGTAACTTTACTGACCTTGGAATGTTACCCCACAACCTAATATAAACTTTACTAAACTTAGTTTGAGCTTAATATTAAAAGGAAGTTTCCGTTCGTTCGAATGCTAACCTTATTTATATGAGCTTAAAGTTTCTTTGACTTCTTGAGCTTTTAATCTGTGAGCATTATAGGGTTAACCAGAAAATGCTTTATAATTTTTTGTTGATAGCAATGACAAAACAAATCGAAAGTACCCAACAGTAAAATCTAGTAATTTCCTCCAAGGTTTTAAGTGAATTATACGTCAAGGAACTTAGTTGAGAATGAATATATTGTTTAGTTTTACCTATATTATTTTTACTCGACCTCCCAGAAAGCGAGTAATGTTTTGAATATAAGCATGTACATTTGTACGTTTATTTCTTTGGCATGCTCTTTAATCTAAATGGCTTGATAGATATTAATTCTAATTGAGTGTAGAAATATTTTCCAATTGAACTGATATTTAAAGTCTTTTGCGCAATAAAAATACAGATAAAAAATATATTTTAATAAACCCCCCAATAGTTCGTTTACGTAACAACATTGTGATGGTATGTTTTTGCTGTAAAATGATTTAGCTCTAAGTTTTATGTACATAAAAACATATTTAATTTTTATTTTAAAATTTAATCCATTAAGCCATAGTATGAAAATTTTTAACTATTCCATTGGTTTATCGGTTACGTAACGAGAGGATTATCGATATTTTATTCGCATTGGCACCTACACAAGAACTTTTAAGCGTGCATATGTATGTATATTTCGAGAGATCTTTTCCAGATTTCATATTTAAATATTTTATCCTTCATTCTTCGTTATTTAATCACGATGTACTGAATAACAAATATTTAATATTGGCGATTCTTTAAATTGACACAACTTTTTAAATTTATAAACCGATTGAGATAAAGCAAGCTTACCATGATATATTAGTTATAACCGCACTCAAATCGGTTTACCGTTTCTGAGATTAGCGCGCACAAACTCATAGACAAAACAAAAAACAATTGTTTTGGGTTCTATTGCATTGATAAAGACCCCTAATAATATTTTTCTCAAAAATCTTCCATGCACAGACAGCGATCAGTTACAATTTTATTATATGTATAGATCTCTTCATACAATACATCAGTGGAAAATGAAATGAACTGTAGAAATAAAGGTTTTTATTTTGAAAATATCATTCGAAAGTAGAGCAATATGTATGGAAAAATAATAAATGAACTAATCTAATTAGCCCTCTACTGTTTTATTAGGCATAATGAGAATATTCCAGGTCAAGAGTAATTTTTGTTCGGCATCGAAACATTAATTTCATGTACACCCTAACTCTACAAACAGTTGAGGAAGCAATAACTTTTTGTTACGTTGTAGGGGGTAATCTCTGGATTTACTGAACCGATTTAAATGAAATTTGGTAAGAAGATAGTTTGAGACCCCGGGAAGGACATAGGTTACTTTTTATCCCGGAAATTATGGTCTCCATCAACTTATTCTAATATTTTAGTACAGTTTATACGTAGTCAGGTTTTTTTTTATTTTTATAATTTAATTTTACTTAATAGGTACATATAGCATAAATAAAATGGCAGAATATTTAAAGGTAGGCGTTTCTATACTCCCAAAACCCCAGTACAATCTATATAGCAGCAGTTCTAAGTAAAACCAAATAGAACAATATATAAACATCTGTTAAGAAATGCTATTAAATCTTACTTTGTATTTGCAGAGTAATATTACCATTATTTATACTATTCTCCGTCCCATATAATACCCAGTCGAGTATTTAAGGTATAAATGGATGTACGTAATCTTGTAATCTCTTGGAACTGTATAATGAGTACAAAGTTTAAGTTGCTTAATAGACTATACTCATCGTTAAATGTTAAGCCTTAGTGAGATGATGCGGGATTTAGTCAAAATAGAATATTTATGTATAGTGAAGTAGAGATGTAGAAAATTTTCTATTGAAATTGTTCTTTTTAAACTCATATTGTTAAATTATTAATTTTTTTTTAAAGAGATGCCATACGAAATGGTGCTAATTGCACAATTATAAAAGACAAGTGTTAGGTACATTTTAAAGGTTAGTATAGATTCTCAGAGATGAGATATTTCCCCGCAGTAAAAAGTATCCTGTATGTTGACCCGGATAACTACCTATTATCATACAAAATTTCATAAAATTCTATCCAGTGGTTTACTCGTGATGTATTCCCAGACAGACAGACGGACAGATAGACAGACAAAAATTCCAAAAACTATAGATTCGACCTTTGTATCGATAATAATGACTATTTCAATGAGATTTTCCAAAAAATATTTAATGTACAGATTCGACTCAAAATTTTATCATATGTAAATTATGGAGTCTAAGTACATCCATAATATAAGCATGCTAAAAAATAGCCACAATCGAATAAATTACCGCTTTTATTAGTCGGATAAAAAATAACAAAAATCAATGTTAAAATTTGGAGCTGACTTCGAAAATATCTGACTAGGTATTCATTCTAAATGAAAACCCCCGTTTAGTTATTTTTTACATTTTAATGCCTGGAAAGCGGTTTTTTTAAGTTTTTGTAATATATTACTCCAAGTAAAAAACTGTAGAAACGGTAGTATTATATAATTTAGTCAGAATATTATTTAAAGAACGTAAGAGTAAAAACCTCAAAGGAGCCTTCGAGGTTTGCGGCTCTATGTGTAAATGCACTTCTAATAAAGATTAAAAGTCAGGCTTCAAGATTTATTTAGTTAAAATTGTATACTCTTAAAATGTAGAGTAAGGATGCTGGATTTGTTTGGTTTTATAGATGTTTATAAATGTTGATTGCTTTTGAAAATTAACCTTATCATAATACCAAGTAGACTGACATTATTACTTATTTTAAAAGAAAACAAAATCGAAAATGCATATTACAAGACTTCCGCGATAAACAATAGCATTCCCAAGGAGGGTTGACGTCGGCAGGCGGCCGGTCGTAAAACTTTTGCCAAACCCTATCAGCAGTACAGAAGATGTACTGCGCCGACCCCAAGTGATTGGGAAATTGGCAGGGAGAAGAAGGAGAAGTAGACTGACACTTGTCGTAAACAAGAATACTGTAATACAATATTTTTCTGTAAATAAATATATCATGCTGAGATTCATTTAGGTTAACTTCGCCAATATTAGCTCACGAAATGTCAATAATTCAATTATTTATACTTGCCTGAATCTATAGTAGCATATTCTTATCCTAAAATTGTTATTATAATACGGCATAGTCTATACATATAATAAAATTGTAACTAAGCCGAATCTGTACTTTTAATATGTTTGGGAAAATTTTATTGAAATAGCCTTTATTATTGATACAGAGGCCGAATCTATAGTTTTTTAGAATTTTTGTCTGTCTGTCTGTCTGTTACCGCATCACGGAACCACTGGGAGGGGTTTTGATGAAATTTGGTATGATGGTAGCTGGTTATCCGGGTCAACATACGAGTATAAGATACTTTTTACTGCGGGAAAATATCTAATTTCTGAGAAAAAATACAAAAACTACATTGTAAGAGTATACTAATATGTAAAACCTAAGAATTTGGTTTTTGGTCATCTGAACGCGGGCGGAGCCGCGGGCAATGCTAGTTCTTGACAAAATTCAAAGAAACGGACAAATGTGAGTTTGATTTGCATCCAAGGTTCCTTACAACCAAATATTTTTGATCTTCTTACAATTTTAAAAGCTTGTTTGTAACTTGGCAGTTGTTAGGTTTAGTTTTTTTTTATTTTCGTAATTTGAATACAGATTCGTTTATCCGTTCACATAAAACGGACATATAATATATAACCCTTCTAAGCTTCAACGATATAGTAGCAACAGCCTAAATAAATACAGAAGTTATAACTGACATATAGACATGACGAAAATATTTGAGTTTTGTTCACTCTATCACTTACAAAACCCGTTTTTACTGATTTTAAGTCCAAATTCTAGTTATTGAAATAAATATAAACTTGATACCTCTCAGAAATTGACATCTAGAATAAACTACGAGAAGACCACTACGCCACAATAAAGTTAAAATCCAACAACAAAAACTTAAGTAGCACTCCGACTAAGTGATAGTTACTTACATCTGCCTCAGGAATAATAAACTCCTCAGCCGTGACGTTCACGAAACGGATTGAGCCGGATTTGTCGACCGCTTCTTCAGGAATCTCCTTTATAGATACGTTGACAGTTGCCTCTACCCAATGGAACGGTACTAAAGGCTCGTTTTCTTCAGTCACCTATAGATTAGAGATTATAAAATTATAAATTATATAAACACTGGCGATTTATTATTGATTCGTTCGGGTGCGTCTCTGGTCGAATGTCTGTACATAGAATAAAATATGCTAAAAACCAAGTCAGTGGGATGTAAGAAGAGAAATAGACGAAATCCAGATTTTTTTTCAATTTTTTTCTTTCTCTATCTGTTTGTCTGTTTGAACGGGCTAATCTCCGAAACTTTTGGACCGATTTAAATGAAATTTTGTATGGTAGTAGTATATAGTATCCCAGTCAATATTTTAGATACTTTTCGTTCCGGAAAATTAAAGAGTTTCCGTGGGATAGTTAAAAAAATATAGTAACTTATACAGCTTAGTACAAAAAAACTACTGATTGGATTTTAATGAAACTTTACAATACCATAGTTCATACATCAGAATAATAAATAGGCTACTTTTTATTCAGGAAAAACGTAGGGTTCCCGTGGGATAGATTTATTTGTGTTTGGGAGGGTGAGCCGCTATATAGGACATACGTTTTGGTCAATTTTAGTCCTGAACAAATCCGAACATCATGACAATAGTCACACATAAAAACTTCCGTATTTATAATACGAGTTAATTAGTATTTGAAAGTATCAAATTGTATATTAGATTATATTATACTACATAAATTGCTCGAATGCTTTCCTTTTTCCTCATCAAGAATTACGGTGATAATTTATCATTTTTTAATGAAGATGGTTTGTTTATTTTTTTTTCTCATAACATCCCAAGTGAAGTAATAAATATATTCGTCTCTCCATTGCTAGGTTTTCAGCAGTATCAAGAGCCGAGAGAAAATGCGTTACAGTTTACACCATGTGCTTTATAAATAGACTGATAAAAAATAATAGATACAAAGACGTGAGAATTGAACCCTAACTTTCGACATAGTAAGTAAATAAATATGTTGTGACATTAACACACAGCACCATCTAGTTCCATGGTAAGCTACGAGGCTTGTGTTATGGATACCAGATAGTTGACACGCATATATAACTTTAAATACATACATATTATAAACATAAACATCCATGGCTGGATGTTTGTACATTCGTGCTCATCACACAAAGGAATGCCCCCAGTGGGACTCGAACCCGCGACCGCTGTCACAGCAAGCACTACAAACTGAGCCAAACGTGTCATCAGCCAGTGCAAAATCATATTAATATCACAACACCATCATTTTCGTATCTACACATCATAAAATAGGATATTAACATATCTGATTAAATATAGAAGACGAAGAAGCTTAAATATTACAAAGAAAAACTTTATCCACTTTTACCGAACACTCGTTACGTTGATGTAAACCCAGCATTAGATTCAACGTCATGAACTACGGATTACGTCATTTTACTTAAGCTGCCAACTTTGCTTAGCTCGCGTTTGAAGATTGATAAATCATAAACTGCTTCAGTTAAAGTTTCTTGTACATTATCTCTACGTAGCTATTCCACTTTGTAACTCAAAAGGAGTTATGCAATTATAATGACAAGTGATAAGTAACTTGGGATAGCATATATAATATTGATTATTCTATTATCTATTCATATCAATGTAATGGTATAATATTGGTTATCCATTCAACTTACTAATATTATAAATGTGAAAGTTTAGATGGATGTTGTGATGTTAGTTACTCAATCACGCCAAACGGCTGAACGGATTTTAATGAAATTTGGCACAGATATAGATTATAGTCTGGGAAAGCACATGGACTTTTATCCCGTTAGGTTTTTTATAGGCGAACCCCGAGCGAAGCGAATGTGAGCCGCTAGTATCTATGTATATTATAAATTATAATTGAATTTGTGTTTGTTCGAGCTTATCTCAGAAACTATTGTACAGATTTTTATACGATGATAATTAATAGAGGGCTTATCTGTGATGTTTACAGGGTATATGTAATTCTAATTTCATATTTTATAAACATTTTGCAAAAATAATTCTACCTAAATATATTTTAATTAAAACACCAAATAATAATTTATATAATCAAAAGCGAATCAGCTATTTCAACTAAATTAAATTGCCGACAATTTGTACGGAGTTAGAATAGAAATAGGCACGTTCTAGCCCATAGCTCAGTCGGTCAGGTCACGCGGCGAATGCTTAACATTTAATTATTAACTTCCCCGCAACTTCAAACCCCAGAGTACTGCAAACATAAATAGAACGGGAGTCGGCTGACTCTTTTCAGACTTTATTAATTTTTCAACTATAAAGATAAGGCAGTTCCAAGATTCGAAACATTTTAATTCGAATGGTATTTTGGACGGTATAAATGAGAAATGTTTTTTAAGTATGAGTTTTAAACATTATTACAACTTGAAATTACTTTTTCTAATTGCTGGGTCTTTTAGGAAATAATTTTATGAATTAAAAAAAATGTTATTGATATTCAGTAGTAGTATGGTTTAATTTTTATTTATTTATGTATATTGTGTACCATATGCGGAGAAAGGATAACCTATCTCTTTAAGACTTTTCCTTCAGAAACAAGATTTCTTGCAGATGTGTGCAAATTAATGAATTCTGTGCTATGTAGATAAATATAAATAAATATGTTGGCTTTTTTGGCGAGGCTTGTGTTATGGATACCAGATAGTTGATACACTACACATATATAACTATAATTATAAATATAAGCATCCATGACTGGAGTACAAAGATTCGCGCTCATCACACATATGAATGCCCCCAGCGGGACTCGAATCCGCGACCGCTGGCACAGCAAGTTTGTAGGGTCACTACAAACTGAGCCAAATGTGCCGTTAAATATAAATTATTTACAATAATATTTTTTAAACTATACTTACATTGAAATGTAATAAATATGTTCCATTAGGTGTTCCTTCCTTCATAGTGATCATACCGGTGTTGCTATGAACATCGAAATATGGACTTCTCTGTTCATATGACGGTAACCACATAAACCGTTTATCTGGTAAATCCCAATCGTCTGGATCATTGACAAACACTCGACCGATTTCTGTATCTGGTGCTTCACCCTGTCATAAAAAATACAAATTAAGTATAATAAATACAGAATTTATATTAAAAGTATGATTGCATATTCAAAACTAATATAGAAAGCTACGATTTGGACATAACTAAACCATTTTGTTAAAAAACAAAGACGTAATACAATACCGCTAGCTCTTGTACTATAAGTGAAGTACCCTTCAAGTTGTTTTTTTGCTTTAATTACTTTTGCGGTCTAAACTTTGTCAAGTTCGAATTGTCGTTGGGGCACTGTTAAAGTGAATATTTATAGGTCACTATCGATTTCCGGTAAAATTTATGAGCATGCAAGCTATGAAAGTATTTATAATAATATAATAATATTATATTTACATAAACCTTAATATATTTTTATAAAAAAGAAACCTTCATTAAAACCTACATTTAAAACTCGACCAGGGAACTTGAAACCGCGTGTTTTTTTACAAATTAAATGCCAAAAGTGTAGGTGTCAAGGTGAAGCATTGAAAAATAACTCCCACCTACATGTGGGCGCTGAGCCTCGAGTACCTAACAATATTTCTAAGTAATATATTATAATTGGGTCAAAAAGATTTTAATTATGGAAAAATTGTATTGACGTTATTATAAGAATAATTAATCTACTAAATTAGCAGTTTTTAAGTTTATTAGCTTCCCGTTTAAACATATCGGCCCTCATCATTCGTAGTCTAATCTCGTCAAACCACGACGGATTCCAATAAAACTTTATAGTGTCTGACTAAAAAACAATTAAGGTTCTAATTAAAAATTAAAAAATCTATACATATAATAAAATTGTAACTAAGCCGAATCTGTACATTAAATGCACCGCAATGTACAATAAAATACAAAAAATGTCTGTCTGTCTGTTACAGCATCACAGAAAGACCACTGGAGGGATTTTGATGAAATTTAGTATGGTGGTAGCTGGTTATCCGTGTCAACATATAGAATACTTTTTACCACGGGAAAATATCTAATTTCTGAGAAAAAATACAAAAACTGCAACGTAAGAGTATACTAATATGTAAAACCTAAGAATTTGGTTTTTGGTCATCTGAACGCGGGCGGAGCCGCGGGCAATGCTAGTCTTAAATATAATCTTGAATGATACGTCAAAAAGTAACTGTGTACTACAAAATGTCATGAAAGGAAAGCTATTTTCTAAGTAACGAGTCGTTTGCTATAAACTTCATTAGGAGTGGGACCTCCTGTCGCATTTGCGGGCAACTCGTCGTCTCATTAACTAAGTCGGTTGTACTTCAGGCAAAGTATATAATAGAAATGGCATTTGATTAATATTCACTGTACACAACAGTACAATTAATGAAAACAAAATAATGAAAGCAGCAATAAACTTATGAATATTATATGTTCAAATTAAAATAAAGCGAAGTTAAAACGTAATTACTGAAGTTAATGTTAATGTACAAGTAAAAAAATTACAAAATAATTACGAGAATAAACAGCATACCTACTATTTATTCTGTAAACTCTTAGACATAAAACTTTCTTAAATTTATGCGAATATTCGATATTTAAAATAATACTATTTTTTAGGATTTTTTCGCGGATTTATTTATATTTTTGGTTCCCGACGTTTCGAATGCTTTACAGCAATAATGGTCACGGGAGAGACTAAGATTTTAGATATCTTAAAGGTTATTATATACATAGTTGTTACAGGCAGCATATATCCACAAAATTACAAAATGATATCAAAAAGTATAAAAATGGCACCAAATTACCTTACATTATTCCGTTGATTTTAATTTTAAACATTATTTATAATTTTAATAAGTTTCATAATTGAATATTTATGTTCGTTTAGCTCTTTTGTTACTCCCTGTTCTGAGTCTAGCAACTACGAGTTACTGAATGCGGCACTGTGGCCTTGAATTCGTAAATTTACCCTACAGTAGGAATGCGACTCGTGTAATAAAATTTTAACAATGAGACCCCAGCGGAGTGCGCTTTGATATTTTTACCACTCATTATATCATACGTTTGTTTCAAATATTACATATTATTATACTTCTTATACCTTTGTGCATGAGGAATATTTTTCGCGTTTAAATTACATTACTATGATGATGATGTTTGATAAATACAGTACTGTAAGTTTTTTTTATATGAATTAATTGTACATTTCTGTTTATTTATGTAATAAATGTTCTTAAAATCCTTTCATAATATATCAGAATTAAAATTTCAAGAGTCTTTAAAGAGCTATACTTTTATTTTACTAAATCTCTAATCTAATGCGACTTATTAGTTTAAAAACTATTTATATATGTTTTTTTTTAATTTTATCTTTAAGTTGAAAGGCTATAATAACGTTTTAAAAATTGAAAGCAAGTACAGTGGAGACTACTAAAACTTATCTCAACCGAAACCACTCGCGTAAGTAAAGGGAACCGGGGTAGGCAGTAAAAAATCCCTCCCCAGTAATCCCGGTTTACGTACGCACTAAACCCACTTTCATTAAGCGAAATTAACGTTTAATAGCCATATATTATAAAATAAAATACGGTCCGTTGTGGTGGAATAAGATATATTTGGTAGGGAATATATTGGATATCATAGGTTTGGTTCCTTTTAAGGTAGATTTATTTATAAAATTCTTGTTACGATTGGGTTGAAACTGTCTGCAGAGTGAGATATTATGTATTATAATCACCAATTGCACTAAAAAAAGAAGCTGTATGTGATTGCTCTAAAGTTTGTATGTGTGTACGTTTGTAACTCCTACACTCTGTAATGGCTGGACGAGTTTGGATGAAATTCATTACACAGATAAACCTGGAGTAACACAGGCTACTGTTAGAATAAATCTTGCCAAAAGATGGTGATGCGATAAGTGGCTACTATATATTTGCCCTATATATGTACGTATTATGTACGTATGGTCCTAAACAAATTTCAGTTAAATACAACCGTTTATTTTAATGAAAACGCCCAATAAATATTTCGGACCGGACTTCGAACCCAAACGTCACGATCTGATCTGCAACCACAATACCATCGAGGCAGTTCTATAATAATATAACAATAAGACAATATGGCTTATAGCGCTTATTATCCGGATCTATACTTCGACTTAATTATTCATGGGGGAATGGATTATGGACGTCAGACAGAATCAGTTTTGTTTTATGCTCCAATAATTTGTAAGTGAATTGCTGGTGATATTCTTAATCTGTGGCTGACGTTGCGATGTTAAGTTTAAATGGCATATACTTTTCATTATTTACATTCTTTTTGAGCATTTTATTATTATTAATAACATCTTTTATATTTATATATATATATATATATATATATATATATATATATATATATCATTTTATTATTAATAACGTCTTTTTTATTATTAACTAAAATGCTGTTATTAATTTTGTAAGTATTCTAAAATAAAATATAATTGCTATAAAATAAAAAAATTTGTGATAAAACGTATATATTTCTAGTATATAATTGCGAAAGTTTGGATGGATGTTTGGTACTCAATCACTCTAGAACGGCTTAATGAATTTGGATGAAATTTAGCTCAGTTATAGATTATACTCTGGAATAGCACATAGACTACTTTTTATCCCGGAAAATGTAAGGTTCCCGTGGGATAATTTGTTTTTGTTTTTCACTAGGGACGAACCCGAACGAACCAAGGGCATGAGGCATTTGTAAATCATAGTAAACAAAATGTTCATATAAAAAGTATACATTTCTGTACATTTGTTAGTTGAAAATAAAAGTCGTAGCCGTAGAGTACGAAGAATCGTAAAATCGTTTATAGTGGCTTGTAAAGAGCAATGAATCCGTAACCGCCATTGTTACAGATATTTTCATGTTTTATTCGACACTTTGTAGCTTTTGAATGTAAATTTCATTTTAATAGTGTCTCGCTTATAAATGCAGGGAGACGTTATCTTTGCAACGTATTAAATCTCTACGTCGTCTACCTAAAGTAATTACAGAAGAAAAGTTATATGAAATCTTCTTTAACTTTATCTAATATTTTGTGGCACGGTCGTTGGAGACACAGTGATTGGAGTTCAAACCTCTCAAACTAGATTTTCTCATTTTCAACATAATTACCACTTGTTAATAAGGTAAAAGAAAACATCGCAAGTAAACTGCATGTCTAAAAGAAATAATTTTTGAAAAAAGTATCAACCTTGAAAGTTCGCGTTTGGACTAAAGATTATTGCACTCCATAATAACCATCTCTCGCATATAGACCTATCGGTGTCCAACAGTGGGTCATCAAAAGCGGTAAATTATTATTATCTTAGTATAAAAGTAATAGAAGCGACATTTTCTTACTACTATATAAATGTGAAAGTTTGTGAGTATGGATGTTTGTTACTCTTTCACGCCAGAACGGCTGAACAGATGAATGAAATAGATTATAGTCTGGAATAACACATAGGCTACTTTTTATCCCGAAAAAATATACGGTCCCCGAGGGATAGATTTGTTTTCGCTTTTCCTAGTTGCTAGTTGAATATATTTTTTTACAAAATGAAGTATCGAGTATTAAAAATCTTGTAAAGTATGATTGTTCACATATCTATACATATAATAAAACTAAATAAGCCGACTCTGTATATTAAATATTTTTTTGGAAAACCTTATTGTAATAGACATTATTATCGATACAGAGACCGAATCTATAGTTTTTAGAATTTCTGTCTGTATGTCTGTCTGTTACCGCATCACGGAAAAACCACTGAAGCGATTGGTATGGAATTTGGTATGATGGTAGCTGGTTATCCGGGTCAACATATAGGAATTTTTACCGCGGGAAAATATCTCATTTAAGAGAAAAAATACAAAAACTACAATGTAAGAGTACTAATATGTGAAACCTAAGAATTTGGTTTTAGGTCATCTGAACGCGGACGGAGCCGCGGGCAATGCTAACTAGCATAGCATTCAATAATTATATGCGAATGAATTTAAATGTTGACATAATGCAATGACATTTCGACAGTTATATTTAGTCATGCAAAACAAAAATAAAAATAAACCAAATAGTACGTGAAAGCGTTTTAATTAACTTAATACATATTATTAAAGATCGTTACTGGTTTAATAGCGAGGAATGGAAAATGGAATCACACGAAATGCGATTACAACGAAATTTTATTTCGTCAGTTTACTGCCAATAAATTACTTCGTACCAAAATATATGAGTATATTTTAACTTAAGCTTTAAAATTTATTATATATAGATTTTGAAAATTATGATAATGCCTAATTAAATATCTGTTTTCACACTTTTTACCTTTTTTTACCTATTACATGGTTTGTGTTGTTTTAACATGGAGTGCTGGCGTATAGATTTCCACCAGATTATTTTGCTTTAAAATAGGCAATATAATTAAAATTGTGAAGCTTTCTATGTCAGAGAGTAATTAGAGAACCAATGCTTGTCAGAGAATAGGAGCGGAGCGTTGTAAAAGTTTTCTATTTAAAAAATATCGTTCACATGAAGTTATGAGTACATATATCAATTGAGGCTATAGTAGCTAGTATAGATTTTGTTTTTTGTTTGTTCGATCGCACTAATCTCTGAAACAGTAGTCAGATTTGAATTATTATTTTAGCAATCCTATCCTATTTTCGAAAAATCTAATATACCGAAGAAATTTAAAAAAAATAAAACTGTGAAAGATGAACCTATGTGGGCGGATCCGCGGACAAACGTTAACTAACATTGTACAAAGCTGTAAGAAATAACGTATAACATTCATAGTCTAATAACCGCGTACTCGCGAATAAAGTAGATTTATTTTTCGACAACCAAAACCACTGAGCAAGTAATATTTTTTCAAATATAGGTCTCGGTTTGATTATTATTATAAGAAATATATAAAAGACTGTAACCCAACACGCTAGCCATTATAATAAGACGGAAAAATATGTAATGTGACGCCACTTCTAATATATATATACCATAAATAATAATGATTGGAGAAACAAAACAAATCTAATAAAACAAATAGACACTAAATGAATTATGATCTTGTATCCAAGTCACAAAAATAAGACAAATGAGAGAAGAAGAAAAACATAGAGTGTCCTTTCTCTAAACACAAATTGCCAATTTATACTCACGTAATATCGCCAGCTGTATATTTCGTTGAAATACGTTTCCGTCTGATAGCGTTTTGGGGAACAATACATAAAACATTAATACTCGAGAAAGTAATTTTAGGCTCGTGTAAGAGTTGCGATGTTGGTACAATTGTTTTTGAACGAGTAATATTGTATGTTGCTAATTGTTTTTCAAATTTTTCTTTATTATAGCAGTATATCTTTTATTTTGTTAGGTTGGCAATATATTGAATGGTCATTTTTATTGACTCTTATAAGTTTATTAGCGCAATGATTGCGGGTTCGATTACCTCTCATTCATGTTATAGTTCATTACACGTCGTCGTCTCAGAGCTTATTTGGCCGACAGACAAATTTACCGAAGGAGTTGTAATACAGAATTATTGACTCTTAAATGTCTATTCTATTGGTATAAATAGTACACATTTTACTTCAATAAAGCCGAAAAACGTATTTTATTTATAATAGATGTATATAAATCTTAGAAAAAATGTTTTTTTAAAGAAAAAGAACTCTCAACTGTAAAGTAGGTAAGAGTTATTGGTTGTTTGACCAAATAAGCACAATACGACGATGTATCAGTGAGTTTTTTTATTTTAATTGAGAGCACAAAACCATCATATTAAGTCCCAAGTTGTTTTAGTTTATATTTTTATATTTATTTGTTTATATAACAAATAATTTTGGAATATGCTTAACAATAACAGTTCACTTTATAAATTTAATTTTTTATTAATGCTAATATGTCAAAATTAAATGTGATACAAATCAATTTACCCAATTTATTCAAATATCGCTTTATGAAAGTTCATTGCTCATTAAACATTTTTGTAGAAAAAAGTCCGTAACGAAAACTAAGAGTACCAATCGTTTTGTTACAACATCCACCGAGAACGTAACGATACGTCGAATTCGTTTACGTCAAACGTGTTACGAAAACTTTTTAATAGATCAAATAATACTGTTAGATTTTTTTTAAAAGTCTAAAATATTTTTCATATAACGTAATGTGTAAAACTGTTGCTCATAACAGAATAATTGATTAAAAATTGACATTTTTTTTATAATTCTGATTTTAATGTATGTAATGATACTTTTAGACGCTTTAAATATATTTAGACCGACTTCAAAAAAGAAGGTGCGCAATTCATTTGTATTTTTTTATGTATGTTATGAAATGTCTTCGGTGAATTGTGAACCGAATTTTATCTTTTTAATGCAAAGTAACCTCAAGGGCCCCATAAAAATTTCAAAGAAAATTAAAGCACCTGAAGCTGAAAAATTACTTTTATAGACATTTTTAATTTGATATTACTTTTAAGTAAAAAACTACTCATTTGACTCTTCATAACGTTTAAAAAATATGAAAATTCTCCAATACCAGTAAAAAACATGTTAGCAAAACCTAAATAATAATTTAATTCATTATTATTTATACTAAACGATATTTTTTAGTAACCTACCATAAAATAAAAAGTCTGTAATTACCTTATAATTGTACACAAATATGTCGCTATGTCCAGGCCCCATGGGATTGTCGTTCCTATCGCCGATCACGACGTGCAGTATTGAAACGCCCGTCAAACGTGGAGTACCGGAATCCGTGATGGCCACCGGTATTTTGTACTCTTTCCGCTGCTCACGATCGAATGAAACGAGCGTTGATAGAATATTTCCTGTAAGAAATGTTTATTAGACCATGTTTTTGTAATTTTTCGCCATATTTAATGTATATTATGGTGATTTTAATATTAATCTTTACATAGTATAAAATGAAATCGCTTCCGCTGTCTGTTCGCTTAGATCTTATAAACTACTAAACGGATTTTAATGCAGTTTTCAGCAAAAAATAGAGTGATTCAAGAGGAAGGTTTATATTTATATTACATACATATTATAGTACATAGAAGCCGAGAAATTCAAAGATTTGTATATCATACTAATCGTTAAAGCGTACCTAGAGACAAACCCGAGCAAAGCGAGGGTGAATCGCTAGTACTATATATATACGAAAGTGTTTTTATTGCTTTACATTCCTTTGCTAGTATAGAAAGCTCAGGATAAAATTAATCTACACATATAATAAAATTGTAACTAAGTCGAATCTGTACATTAGTATTTTTTTGAAAACCTTATTCAAATAGACATTATTATCGATACAGAGTCCGAATCTATAGTTTTTAGAATTTTTGTCTGTCTGTCTGTTACCGCATCACGAGCAAACCACTGGACAGATTTTGATAAAATTTGGTATGATGGTAGCTGATTATCCGGTTCAACATATAGGATACTTTTTACCGCGGGAAAATATCTCATTTCTGAGAAAAAATATAAAAACTGCATTTTAAGAGTATACGAATATATAAAATCTAAGAATTTAGTTTTTGGTCATCTGAGCGGAGCCACGGGCAATGCTAGTATTAATTATTTTTAAGTATCAATACATGGCATTATACGTATCGACTTGTTATAAAAATGTGTGTTAAATTAACGTATTAAGTGTAATAATATTGTGCGTCTGTTATCTTATTTCAAACTTAGTTAAATTTAATTAACCTTCAAATTGATTAATCACGGCAGTTTGGACTGATTAAGAAGATTTTGTTTACACAATGTATTCGAGTTACGAAGTTACACCCCTAATAGCACTCTAAGTGTTTGCGAGACCAAAATGAGCATACACGATCGCTTTAAAACTTTGCTAGGCTTAAAACTCAGAAGAAGGTCTTAAACGAAAAAGTTTGTAACACTTTGGTACTAAATAATTTCCGCAGACACGACTTACAATTATCAACACGCAAACTTGAATGGGGAAACGACTAAAATTGAATTGGCACTCCAAAAACAAAGTTACGAGTTGGATTCGAGCGCCATTTATTGCATTTTAACTACATTAATTGATTGAAAACTCAATTTTGGTGTCTCCTTCAAATTCCGTGTTGCTGAGATTGCGGGAACATTTAGAATAAAATCTTGGTTATATTTGATTTTCATCAAGTGATCTTACTAGCGTTTATCTTTCGGTGTCAGACTATAATAAAGCGTTATATTAAAATATTTTGTTCATCTATAATAAAATTGTAACTAAGCCGAATCTGTACATTAAATATTTTTTGGAAAATGTTATTGAAATAGATATTACTATCGATATAGAGGCCGAATCTATAGTTTTTGGAATTTTTGTCTGTCTGTCTGTCTCTTACCACATCACGGAAAAAACATAGAAGGGATTTTCATGAAATTTGGTATGGTGATAGCTGGTTATCCGGGTCAACATATAAGATAACTTTGGCCGCAGGAAAATATCTCATTTCTAAGAAAAAAAATAATAACTGCATTTTTAAGAGTATACTAATAAGTAAAACCTAAGAATTTGGTTTTTGGTCATCTGAACGCGGGCCGGAGCCGCGGACAATACTATAGTATATTTTTAGCTTTAAACACGAAGTGAGCGTATTAAGAACGATTTCGATGCAATCTCGGTGTAAGCAAACGCTGTCACGTTGCTTAACCGAAGATTGACGGATGAATGAACGCTTTAGAATTTCCGCTCAGACAAATTTCCTTAGAATGTTTTCCATCTCCGCTAGATCATAAAGTACGTCCTGACTTTAGGCACATTTTGTTTTAGATAGCAACTGTAATTGAGAGCTTCATGTACGAATTAAAATGAATAAAATGCTTTCGTTTCTCGATTATAAAAAAGTAATGAAAATTTTAAAACAGTAGTAGCCAAGTGGTAATACGCTTACATGGGAAACCAAGTGAAGAGGGTTCAAATCCCGAGTCCCGCACCTCTGATATTTATTTTAGATATGCGGATAACTTTCAACATGATTACCACTTGTCTTACAGTGAAGGAAAACATCGTGAGGAAACCTGCATGTTTGAGAGAAATTAGCAAGCTTTCGAAAGACATGTTAAGTCCGCCAACCCGCACTTGGCCAGCGTGGTGGACTATGGCCTTATTTCCCTTGTATTGAAGGGCGGCCCGTTCGCAGCATTCGGACGTTAAAATATTATTAATTACATCAATACAAGAAAATTTCGACACTTTAATAAAATAAATAGTACAACTAAGTAATAACCATATTTTGCGCCAAGATTTATTAGTCTGCGTAATTTCAGAACAAATTAGATTTTTTGTATAATAACTTAGAACTATCACGAGAATGTCTTATATTCCTAAGGTAGAAAACAAATACACAACGAATAGTAAATTCTCAATGAATAGAAATAACATAAATAAAATACCTTTACTGGCATTTAAAAAGTATTTTTATTCTGCCATTAAGAAAGATGTAATGTCAGTAAATGTTGAGTCATAAAGTAACTATTTAAAGTGTTTTAATTCATAAAACATAATTTCTTACAAACACTTGTTTCATAATAAATAAAAATAACCTTTAATGAAATAAGGCACTATATATAGTACCTAGCGGGTGCGTCCCTATGTACGTTTTTTTTTGAGCGGAACCCTAGTTCTTTTTCTAAAATAAAAGAAACCTAAGTTACTCCTTATAAAATCAGCTTTCTTCCAGTGAGAGTCCTGTAAAAATCGGTCCAGCCGTTTCGATGATTAGCCGGGACAAACAGACAGACAAAGAATTTAAAAATTGTGTGTTTATGTACTTTCATATACTTTTAGTAAAAAGCTGTTATTTTGACATTACAAACAGACTCTTAAATTTTATTTATCTGTATAGATATACATATTTAGTTTTCTAGTACCAATTGCTTAAAAAACAACTAACCCAAAATCAAGAATAAGGTGCAAGCATTTTATTTTAAAATCGTACTGACTACCTCTGAGATAATAAACAAAGATCATATATTTCACACTACGCCATCACGTTAGTTAACCGATTTACGTGTGGGAAGTGAAACATCTGGAAATCCTCGATTTTTCCTTTAATAGAGATATTGAGATTGCATTACCCTGTATGTGGAATTTGGATCGGATATCGAAGCTCGCTGACTCGTTGAGCGCGAAAGTGAACGGCGGACCGTTTTCCGCTGAATCGTAGTCTTTCGCTGTAAGAATAACCACCTGACCTGGTGCTTCGTTCTCGTACCAAATAACTGGTTGCGTCTGTAAGAAAATTTTTGAGTTACTTGAAAAATTTATAATCATTTGCATGATTCATACTTATAAATATTCATTATCATGACTATATTATCTTTTGTAGGCATATTTATTTATTACACATTCATATAGATATTGTTAACTCAAATATTCTATTATCATCCCTTGACACTATTATGGAACTGTAATTAATTAAATTAATATATACTAATATTATAAAGAGGTAAAGTTTGTGACGTTGTAGGGAATAATCTCTGGATCTACTGAACCGATTTATATGAAATTTGGTAATAAGATAGTTTGAGACCCTGGGAAGGACATAGGATACTTTTTATCCCGATAATCATCCCTTAAGGGGGTGAAAATGGGATTGAAAGGTTGTATGGGGAATCAAGTTAATTAATTAAAAAAAAAACTTAAATGTAACTTCTTTTATTATACGTCATTTAAAAACTAAGAATTCCACAATATTAAAAAACAAAGCATGTAATGCATTTTTTCATTATTGCATAATTATTACTTAAAAATAAAATGGTATCTATAACACAAAATGGCAAATGCTGATGGCATATTCGCAGCGTTTCTCAAATTAATCCAACAATTGTCTTTGCTTACAAAGGAAAATTCATCTATCCGGCTTTGAAACTAACCTGACTGCAGCGACCGTAGCTTTAATCTAATATTCCATGCTTTACTATCTACATCATAACTGTAAGAGATAAGTCAAACTACAATGCTTTGCTTATAATATAAATACAATGGACTTCGCCCGAAGCTTCGTTCATTTTAAAACGAATATTCTATGTCCTAATTACCTACTCGCCAAAAAGGGCTTTCTTATTAAATTTATTAGAACCATTTCCGCCTTTCTAAAGACAAATATAGAGCTAGATATATTATGTTATCTTTTTTTACTTTAATACACATTGTTGCTATTAGCCATTTAAACTCTGAAAAGTAGTATAATTTGGAAATCACAGACACTTTTTACCAATACAAAATTATCTACAACAAAGCTATATGCGAGTAGGTCCGCTCGCGTAGTTTATATGTAACATAAATATTAAATTTTGTCATAGATAAAGATAAATAATAAAAAAAACTAACTTCAAATTGCAAATACAAGCATCATTATATTTGTTCAGAATATTTTCGATCATGCTTTGTACATACTGCCTGCACTCAATATGTTTTTAGCTATTGGAAAATAGCAAGTATAAAATTAAGGAATCTAACCGAAATCGAGGACTACAGGACGATACAAATAAAAAATAGCGAGTCCAAGATAGCGTATTTGCATGAAAAATTAACAAGTGGACATCCCCAGCGGTTTTACCTGAACGGAAACTTATAAGTAGGATACGATTTGACTTGAGTATCCACTTTTTTTAGATTTCAAATTGCTCGTCGGAGTCCCTGTTCAAATTATACTTTGCCTTTTCTTAAATCGTTTAGGTAGAAGCAATTGGGCTTAAATAAATCGTTTTCTCTATATCAAAAAGCGTAGCAAATTGCATTGGAAAATTGTCTTGTTAGATACATTCTTGTAGAAGTCGTAACTTCTCTATGATCGTACGAACTGGAGTGAACAAAGATTTTCGACGTATTTCAAGTGAATAAAGAAAAGTAAACTTATTTTCATGATAAATATTTCGTGAATAAAAATATGGATAAGATTTTGTATGGATAAAAGCATCAAGACTGAATTTTAAAGGCTTTATCTACATATATTCCACTAGTCATATTACACGCTCAAAGTCTAGGCGATATTTAGTGGTTTTAAAATATGTATCGCAAATATAAATTTGGCAACTTACAATTGGAAGTATCGTCAAGAAAAACCCCCAAAAAGTGTCTAAACGACATAATTTAATATTACTTTTATCTTACAATGCTAACTTTTTAAAAGTTAAAAACCCATTTGGGGAACAGATTCGTGTTGAAAATTTTTGTTTCAAAGTTTCCAAGATACATTTTCTTTGATCGACTATCGTAATAAGTTATATACTAACTTTTAAGTTTTTCGTGTTTCTCATTTTATTGAATTTTAAAAGTGTACCAAGATTTTGTAAGGCAGTGGTAGCCCAGTGGTAACGCGCTCGATAGGGAATCCGAATGAAGCAAGTTCAAATCCAGGGTCTCGCACCTCTGATATTTTCATATGCGAATCATTTCCAACTTTTCCACTTGTTTTAACGGTGAAGGAAAACATCGTGATGATGTGAACCCTGCATGTCTGAAAGAACCTAGCAAGTTTTTGAAAGACATGTGAAGTCCGCCAAACCGCACTTGGCCAGCGCGGTGGACTATGGCCTGATTCCCCTCGTACTGAAGGAAGGCCCGTGCCCAGCAGTGGGACTTTAAAAAAGGGCTGAATACATACATACATACTCGTACATACCAAGATTTTAAACTTATATAAGCAAGTCATTATTTCATTCCAGAGTAACTCTTAAAAAGTTGTATTAGAGTGTGAAATTATATAGAGAAATATTTATTTGTAAAAAACTACCATAAAAGCAGGCGATGTCATGAAATGGACCTAGTTTATACTATATTTAAAAAGTATCTGTAACGATATCTTGTACAAATACATGATATAGTGTTAGGCGTTGAAATATTACATTAGACACTTGTTCCCTCACTATTTGTACCCTCGTCAAAGGGATTTTTTGATAGACAACCAATATAGCTACCCCTAATACTGCGTGCATCGAGTTTAGATACCGGTCAATATGGGGCTTTGTTTGGAACTACTATATCATCGCTGTCAATATACGGACGATCTTTTCTTTTGTATATGTAGATACAAAACAATAAGTATAATAATATGTTTAGAATTATTTCAGCTACTTAAGAGGCCTATTACATTATGACCGTGATTTTTCAATTGAATGCCCATCTTTGACGTTCTTATTCAGAGAAACTGAAACTCTTCGACAATTTTGGCTTATAGTATGGTAGAGAATAGTTTATAATATAGTTCATAGCGGCCTCACTTTTCGCAAATTTTAATTATAAATTGAAATAAAGCCAAAATTCAAAAGCAAGTTTTAATAAAAATGCGCGACTACTAAACAAACGAAATGAAAATTATATAATAATATCTCGTATATAGTGGTTGAGTTTATAGCGGTCTCTGAATTTGAAAATATGTATTGGATTTCTACAAAAAAAAAATCCTTTTCAAAATCTTAAACACTACTAAAAACGTCCAGAATTAGCTGTAAATATATCCTTACAACATTAATATTATTAAGTAAAATTTATACTAGAATATACGTCAGGTCAAAAGAAATGTAATTACATACTTTTTTTTTTAAATAATTTATTATAAAAACTTTACACAGAAGTAATTACAACTGCAGAAAATGCTAGAAACAGCGATGCGTCGGCCGCTCGAAATCAATAGAATGATCATTTTGTGATAGGCCTCTTAAGGATTGCATGAATCATAAATCATAGTTTTTCTTTTGATTATAATAAAGTACGCAAAAATCTTCACAAATCAGTATTCATTTGAAATTATTTAATACGCTGCTGTTTACAGATTTTTTTATTGTTTATTTTACTTTCTTTGTGGTCCGGTGGGACGAAAATTCAACACGACCGGTGAGAGATCTAACGCAAGAACGACGTCTTTATGAGCTTTCCGAGGTATGGGGGTTTCACGCCGCTAACTTTCTAACTCCAGGCAGCGACCGAAAAGCACTTTTCGGTATTATAACTCAGAAAAACTTTTAACTATACCTAGCCCAACCCGGGACTCAAACCCAGAACCGTACATATTAGCCAAAAAACAAACAAGGCAATCATATAACTATAAGCTTTAGTTAAAAAAGCTCTTTAATAAGGGTGTGAATAAAAAGCTCGACAGATAGAAATTAGCGGCAGAATGCTTATGCAATGTAAAAAAAATAGAATACCAAACAAAGACATACCCGCAGACAATCGTTTTTAATCAAGATATCCGAGAACATTTGAAATTGAACACGAGACGGTATAGGATTTCGGGTTTTACTTTCTATACTTGGTCTTTTGTTATAAATTCAATTCGTACTACTACTCATAATTCGATTAAATGCGAGCATTGTTTCAAAAACAGCTAATAATCTATGAAGTTTTATGTAAATGTATAATTTTGCCTAAATACTTACAAATAATGCTATATATAATTGTTTCAAAACAAGAAGTTCGTACCAACATTGTTTATTTGTATTGTTTGAATTTTGGAGATTTCTATTTAAGGCTTTTGTTTTAATAAATTTAGAAATTGCTGATGGAACGAGGAATGAGAAAATATATGGATAGATTATTTTTGTCCCATTACATATTTCCTCATAAAAGGCTATAACAGGTAAATCGTTATAACCACTGAAACAGATTTCCGCAAAAAGGTTTAGTCCTGATGATTCAATATAAATTTATCGACAGCTATTCCTTAAAATGCTATATAAAATGCTTAGAGTGGATTCTATAAGGAAATTGCATGTTTGTCCTTTGAAGATTTAAAAGGGGTAATTATTTGTTTGAGCAAAAATAGAATACAACAAATCTAAAGCAATAATGGCGTAATGTTTCAGGGTACTGTGTTTAAAGTGACATTTTTCAGTCGACATCCGTTTTCTTTTTATCGTTAGATCGTTTCCCATTAGATGCACAGTTTCTAGAATTTTAGACGAATGGGGTAGAAAGTGGGGCATCTTTTATCGTAGCAACTAAGTTAAATCTTTACGTTGAATGTTAGGTAACATTTCATGTTTTTGTTGTACTAAAATCTATGCTATTTTGCATATCCAAAATTACGTTAAAAATAATTATGATTAGAAAATAAATTGACTCCATTGTAAACATTTTCAATTTTCTTAATTATAAGACGTCTTTCTTAAATGTTTAGAAAATGCCATATCATGAACACTCATAAGAACGCAAGTAAATTTTTAAACTACTTACATTAGTCAAAAAGGGTGCATTATCGTTTATATCTGTTAATTCCAGTATAACTTCGGTAGTGGACCTCAAGCTGTCTGATCCAAGTCTTCCTCCATGATCAGCAGCCATTATGAGGATCTGCCATCTGGTGAAACCCGATGGCTGGTCTCTATCTAACGGCTTTGTTAGGCGAAGACACCCGTCATTGTCGATTTGGAGAAATTCTTTCTGTTCATGTTTCACTAATGAATATACTATATTCTGGGGTTCATTTCTATCTAAGTCTGGGTCGTAGGCTTCAACCTGTAAGTAAATGTTAGTAAGTCGTTATGTTTGATTCAATCATATATGGCAACTATAGGGACGAGCGAAATGATACATTCCCTAGATGTCTAACAGTAACCTTGTTCAAAATTTCATTCAAATCGGTCCAGCCGTTTCGTCGTTAGTAACAAACATACACACATAGAAACTTTCACATTTATAATAGTGGTGCAATAATATAGATGCACGTGTTAATGTTTAAGTAAATGTATTATGCAAATGTTTAGTCCAAGCGTCGAACAAACAATAATCGACGCAAATAATTAAATCGAATTCCGTGTAAACTACAAAACAAACATTTTATTCCATTAAATTAAATAAATAAATATGTTGGGACATTAACACACAGCACCATCTAGTTCCATGGTAAGCTACGAGGCTGGTTTAATGGATACCAAATAGTTGATACACTAGACATATATAACTTTAAATAAATACATTATTATAAATATAAACACCCATGACTGGAGTACAAACATTTGTGCTCATCACACAAATGAATACTCCTAGCGGAACTCGAACCCGCGACCGCTGGCACAGCAAGTAGTCTCACTACAAACTGAGCCAAACGTATCGTCAAAATTAATTCAAAATAAAATACAAAATTTACCTTAACAATACATCCTTCATACAGCTTCTCTTCTTCTATAGTCTTAGTGTAATTAGCCAAAAAGACCGGTGGATTGTCGTTTAAATTCTCAATCTTAATAAGTACTTTGGCATAATCTTCGTATATACCATCAAAGGCTCTAACATCTAAGCTATAACTGGTTATATTCTCATAATCGAGTTCGTTATTAACACGTATTTCGCCAGTGAAGTTCCGAATAACGAATGCATCGTAGGTATTACCCGCTACAATACTGTACGTAACCACGGACGCTGAAAACGACAATTTGTTTGAAAATGTATTGCTAGCTTCTAAGTACTAAAAGGAAGGTGGAAAACGATTTCTGAACTTATTTCAAGGATTGGCCTTGAATAATGAAAGTGTGTGTTATAATATTGATTTGTACATTTTATCATACTAGCGACACGCATTACGTTCGCTTCACTTGTAATTTTTCTTCTGTATTTATGATAATATATAATATATAGACAGCGCAACGTTTTTAGTTTTTGACGTTGTGGTAATCTCTGGTTTTTCTGAACCTTTCTATTAAATTTCGTTAAAATCCGTCTAGCCGTTTCTGGGAAGGACATAGGAAATATACATACAATCCACATTGCTATACGGGGGTGAAAATAGGGATGAAAGTCTGTATGGAGAATCAAGCTAGGGACGAACCCGAGCGAAGCTAGGGTGAGTCGTTAGTGATAATATTCATATACAGACAGCGCAACGTTTCAGCAAATTTTATTACTAACATAGCCTATGTGCTACTCCAGCTCATGGCCTATTTGTGTACTAAATTTCATTAAAATCCGTCCAGCCGTTTCAGCGTTTAGAAGTAACAAACAAACGTACACACATTCACATTTATACAGTAATGTGAAGTAAGATAGTATAACAATTTGTAGTGTGAGTTTGATTGTAACTTGTAAAAAACAAGATAAAATTAATCGTGTGTCTTCTTTGAAACTCTTCTTACGTTTTTTTTTATTTTATAAAAGAAAAGCCTTTAAATTTCTAAAACACAGACGGACAGACAAATAGGCTTAGTAATAAGATTCCGACACATAGTTGGTAGTATTTAACTAATAACTTATGTTAAAAAAAATATTTACAATAATAAAAACCAACTTCGTAAAAAGCGAACTAAAAAGATGACAACTATTTGACGAAGATACATAGTATTATGCAGTTGGAGACATACAAGTTTGCTACTTGCTACTTGTATATAAACACACGAGTACATTCATGGTTACATCAAGAATGTAACCATGAATCTACTTGACACCCAGCAAACTAGTTTAACAGCGTTTTCTATACAAACAGTTCATTTATATCAGTCTATAAAACACTATAACTAAATAAAATAATAATTAATGAATTACTAAACCTCCTATAAAATTTATGTATTTGTGATTTACAATTACCATATAAAATAAGACGAATTAAATACCTGTATCTGTATCCAAAGCGGTAACCTGCGTAACAAGTTCGTTAATATTAGCATTCTCAGCTATCGATTCTGCAACGTACGTATCTTGAGTGAAGTGCGGTGGATTATCATTTTTATCTGCTATCTCTATTAAAAACACTTGTTGGCCGGCATTATGCTTTCCCGGTATAAGGGCTGATTCAGAATTGTCTGTAGCTATAATTTTAATATTGTAAAAGCTACGCTCTTCTCTATCAAATATTTTAAGTGTTGTTATATTTCCAGTGATACTATCGATTGCGAAGGGATCTGATGGGTCGCCTAGTTCGTAAGATACTTGGTTGTTAGCTGATGTACCGTCAGCGTCGAATGCCCTAACTTGCATCACAGGAGTGCCGGGCGGCTCGTTCTCTAACACACTACCCGATCTAATTTCACTAAATATAGGAATATTGTCATTTACATCTTCTATTTCTATTTGGATTATTGTTTCAGCCGCTAATTTGTAATTGTTCTGCAAATAAAGTAAATGAGTAAGAAGCTTAAATTTATAATAATATAATAAATTATAAAATATAAATATTAAGTATTTATTCAACAATTTTTTTTATATACTTTTTATTAATAAAAGTTATATAGGTTCTAATTTACCTGTATCCGGACAGTTAACGTATAGTCAGTTATTTTTTCATAATCCAAATGGTTTCCAAGTTTTATATACGCTGAGTCAGCTTCAGGTTCCAAAACAAATGTATGCCATTTGTTTGTCTGTTCTGTTTGTCCCATCACTAATTCAAATTGTAATTTTTTCTCTTCTGGTATATTTGATCTAAGTGGATAAAATGAAAATTGGCGATTAACAAAATAAATTATACTGATTAAGGTTTTGCCAAAACAGTATCAGAGCTAAGTAAATCTAAACATCCAAATAAAGTATAAAGCTTCTTCAATTTTCTCAAAGATTTATACAACTTTAACATTCTATTTAATTCGTACTAAATCCCGCAAATTCTTTTAAGCTCTCTTTGATAATGTTTAATTTTGTTAGAGTAAATTAAATTCGAATACTTACACCGCTCGAACAGTAGCTATTGGTGTGTTGAAGTCCGCGTAATTTTCTTTTAATCTTATCGGCTGGTCGGGCACTTCTATAAAAGACGGGCTTTTCTTGTTAGACTCAACGACTTGGATGTCTAAAGTGATCGAACTTTGTTGCGGCGGCTCACCCATGTCTTTTACTATCGCGCTCAACTTGAATTTGTAGCCTGGTACTTTCTGCATAAATTTACAATAAAATTAGCGAATATTGCTTTTAAATTACTTTTGTAGCCTAGCAATATATTTGGTACAGCTCTTAAGTTCTTCTTGAGAATTTATTTAATGTCTTAAGTGTACCAATCAATCTGTGTTGGAAAAATACTTAATTACCATTAAAATATCATTTTATTATAATGTTCGCTGCGCTTTTATTTCAGCTATAGAGGAAAATAAATCTTAACATGATATAAAAATTTTACAATAATAATAAAAATTATATACTTACGTCAATGGTTTTATTCAAAAATATTACACCATTGTCTGGATCTATATAGAAGTAAGCCTGATCTGGCGAATTGGAATCTAGGCTATAATGCACGATGGAATTGTTCCCATCGTCGATATCTGTCGCTGATATTCGCATCACCTCGCGACCACTGGGTAAATCTTGAGGGACTGACTCCGAATACGACTGTGTGGAAAGTTAGAATAAATTATTTTACATCAGTACTATATTAGCGATAGCCATGTGATTCTATATCATTGTTACAAAATTTGAAAATTGATAAAACATACTAAAAGTCCATTAAAATAAAGGGTAGGTATCTAAAAACCATTATGGAACGCGAAAGATGAAAATTTTGCCATATTTTATAATAGCAAATTCCTTAACATAATGGTATTTTAATAATCTCGTAAAATATTTAGCCTTAGAGTTAGCTTAAGTAAATTATTTCACTTTGACATGTTCTACGCGAAGCATGCCTAAAGCTTAGAGAAAGTTTTCCAAAATAATTATAATCGTGCAGTGTGATAAAATGCGCTTAGGGGAAAAAGAGCTGCCTAGCTAAAGAAAACACACCAACTATAAAATGTGCAAAAAAAGTGAATATAACACACGAGACATACAAAATGATTACCGATAACGCCTTGAGTGGCGGCTTACGATCCTAAATCATGCAGCAACATGCAAGTAGAGAAATAGATTTTTTTTTCAAATAAATACGAAAATATGATTGTTACCACAGCTTAAAATTAGTAAGGTTGATATAAGCGATGGTAACACTCAAATTGTTAGTAATTTTAACAGTGTTCAATTTATAATAACTTTTGTGTGCGCAACTCTGTTTCTCATTTGTAAAATTCTTGTTCTTTTAGACAAACCTTCCAAACGTCTCCTCGGAAGACCTTCGAAAAACAGGCAAGTGTTAATAAAGTCTGCGCCACGGTTTGAGGCTAATGAATGAATGTTAAGTTAGTCACAATAAACATTTTAATATAATATTCATAACAAGTTACATTCCATAAGCGGAAGACCTAGAATCGTTAAGTGTTAAATGTATTAAACAGTCAGGTAAATGGTTCTTAATACAAAAACAAGGTTAGATGAATGTTCATATCTGTTAAAGATTTGAGTAGAATCCAGTAGCTGTTACTAAATTTAGGTGCCATAGCATAAAATTCGAAATAATATGGACCAACGGTTTCAGAACAAATACGTGATCGAGCCTCATCTGCATCGAGCGCCTTTTACCTTAACGACCAGTATTTTCGCAATTTAAGACACTAAATTGATCAAAACACTTACAACTTTGTCGAACACCGGCTGATTGTCGTTGATGTCTTCTATTAAAATTTTGATCGTACACGCATCATCTAGCTGTGGTTGCCCATTGTCACTTGCTCGTACAGTAATATATGCTTCCTTTTCACGTGATGGCTCATCGTGGTCAAAAATCTGTACAATATGGCCTTGTTAGCAATAAAACGTAATAAATAACTTCACCTACCTTTATTTCCTAGTGGAAGCTAATATTGTTTCGGTAAGCATTTTAAATTTTATATTAAATTAAACATGAATAATCAAATAATTAGAGTCATACAAATTCTCTGAACAAGCATTATTGAAAAACAAAAATTTTACAAATAAAATTATTACTGACATCCGCTGTAGTAATTCTTCCTGTTTCTGGGTCGACGTGAAATCTCTCTTTCTCACCAGGAGTTGAAACAAATTTATATGTAACCGTCCCTCCCATTTCCGGTGGATCTCGATCCTCTGCATGGACCTGCGTGAACGAAAATAAATATAACTTGTATGTAACTCCAACCAGCCAATATCTAATATAAAACTCAGTCAATAAGTCAAAGGTAATGAAAATCATAAATTATTCACCTTTCCTTACAAATGTGAAAGGTCAAATTTACAATATATATGTCAATAATAATCATAATATACAAACGCTGGCCTATTTAAATAACAAAGACTTATTACTCACCGTAAACACATAAGTTCCGACAGGCTGTTCTTCTTTCAACGTCGGCCTATAATTTAGGCACTCGGTGAACAAGGGTTTGTGGTTATCTTTCACAGCTAGCTTCGGTGACGTCGCTGGTGTGAACTGAAACCGTGGTAGTGTGTGCCACTACATGAGTATACATCTAAGGCTAAATTAAGCACAATTGCCCAAGTCTGCTTGCTAGGTTACACTGCAGTGTCGTAAAATCAAAATAGGGTACTTTAATATATTTTTTATAGGGATTAATTAGAAAAAACTTGTGATTCAAAAGAATTAAATCATAAAACGAAACAAAAATTATTACTGTCTATATAATATTGAAAATTGTACAATAACTTATTTAATATCATGCACATCAATATGATTTAAAACATTCAGAGTAGAAATAACAAGATTAGTAAGTTTAACTTACAAATTATTCCTGGCTTGAGATATCAGAAAGTAATTAACTTGAAATAGTGCATGTCCAAATGAATGACACTGTGATTAGAGTACATACTTACATACTTCCTGGCCAGCTAATTTAATATAGAGATATATCAAGTACAGTAGATAACAGAGCAAGATTTTTACGGTTTTATTCATGCAGAATTCTATACTGTAAAATTTAAAAATAAGCAGAAAATTAACATTAACTCTAAGGGGACAAAGCTTTGTGGGCCAAATTAAGATTGATATGGATGATTGTAAAGATTTGATGGATTCGGCGAAATAAGCGATACTCACGGACGAGTGCAATGGCAGGTACCCATCGAGATGTCTCGAGTGCCGTAACCTCGTTACATGACACATCGCACATGTGTGATCTCGAACTGAAAAAAATGAAACATAAAAAAATTATAGCTTAACTGTATATTTTTCGTCACTTATATTTAATGATTTTGAACGGGAAATTTTGTCACAAAGGCACACACAATATGTCGTTAGAGAAATGTAAATTCTTAAATCAAATATTATAAATAAATTAAAGTGTTTCTATGATTCTAAATAGTATTCCATACTGAGCATTTATGGTTATTGGTTATTAACACAATAAGCTCAAAGAAGCGCTTATTAAAAGCTGTCTGTCTGTTTACACGCACTAATCTTCGGAACAACCGAACCGATTTTAACAAGATTTTTACTGGGGGACAACGGGTCTCAAGAAATAATTTACAGTACCTACTTTTCATCTGAGACCAAAAAAGAAAACTCGCGGCATAGTGGTGACCATATGACTTATAATGGCACGAGTTGCACTTCGATGCAAGAATAGATCGCTAGTATTATAACAAAGAAACGCAAATAATTAAATATAACAATTTTTTGTACCTACATTTTAAATTTAACTTCTTACTTTCTTGGCACTAACAACGACTTAAGATAACGAGATAATGCAATAAATAAGCCCCGTACTCAAAGTTAATGTTCCAAACAATCAAGTCACTTCGAAATGCAGAACTGTTAGCATATCTGTAAGACTGCACAGAAGCGATAAAACAAGATAAGGTTAATTTACTCAGGCACTATAATTGTTAAGATGGCCTAAATACTAATGAAGTTTAAAAGCTTCGTATAGGTTTGGTTAGTATTCCCGGGGCAGAGGCTGACTGCTACCGGGCGCGTCCCCCGGGTGGCGGATAGGGGAATGCCACTCGCGACTGTTCCCCCAGACAGGAGCTTGTGGTACCGGAGCAATCCGGCGCGGACCAACAGCCAGGAGGGGCAGGGGGAGCGGTGTCAGGAGGGCGCCGTCTCCTCCTTGGAGGTAGCGCGGTGTCTCCGGCCGTTTTGCGGTAGGAGGCGCTGCGCGGGCCGTGCTGCCGGGGCTAGCCCGTCGGTGCGGCGGCTGGAGCGGGGCCATTTCGGTGGTCCTGCGTCTGGCGTGGTTGTCGGCAGCCATCTTGGTCCGGAGGTGGGCCGACGGTAGGGGGGCCGCGGGGGAAGAGGAGTGTCGGTATGGCGATGCGCCGCTCGTCCCTATCTCCCGCGGCCTAGCGGGGCCACCACCGTTAGATGGTGGACGCGGTGGGGCTGCAGAGGAAGAGGAGTGTCAGTGTGTCGTTGCCGCTCTCCCTGTCCTCTGCAGCCGATTGGAGGTGGCCCACTTCGGTGGGCGGAGGTTGGATTTGATGGGGCTGCTCCGGGTACCTCTCTGGTGTAGCAGAGTTGACTGTGGAGCAGCCCCATCGGTATGGTGGTCAGCCATTGGCAGACCTGCCGCCGGGGCGCCGTAGTAGTTATGCGCAAGCGATCCTGCGGCGTCCCATTAAGGCGGAGGGGAGGGGAATGTCGGGTTTTAGTGGGTAGTACCGGCTCTTCTAGCCGGTGAGCCCCACATAACCACCTGGGGGGGGAGGGGGGGTTTTATCAGGTGGCATGCGTAAATGCATTTCCCGACAAAAAAAAAAAAAAAAAAAAGGTTTGGTTAGTATTACTAAGTTGTAAATGTATTTAGTGATGGAGATAAGAGGATATTAACGGGTAAAAGAAAAAATGAGTTTTTAGAAAGTTATAAAAATTCAAAAAAAAAAAACTCAGACTAGGTACTTTATATGTATCGACATTTTTCCATAAAGTTTAAAATATTACTAAATATGAATATATAATAATATACCATAATTTAGTTGGTCTCTTGATATTGTGCAGTAAAATCGAGTGCAATTTTTTTATTGTGTTATATTCTTATATTATTAATTAGTTTATAAAATTTAACAATAAACATACCAATAACCTCAGTTGTGTCGAGCACATATACTTGCAATAACATATTTAAATATAAATATAAATAAATATGTTGGGACATTAACACACAGCACCGTCTAGTTGCATGGTAAGCTACGAGGCCTATGTTATGGATAAATGTTATGGATATTTAATAAGCATGAAATAAAATTGTATTTTTATGGCACGATTGCCTTGATTCAACAATATATTGTTAAAATTAAAACTTTAAGATTGATTACATAATGTATCAAATACAAAGTGTCATATACAAAGTGCTTTAAGCTTTAAGATGAGACAATATCATGCCTAAATTCGATTACCGCGTTGGGTAAATAAAGTATAATACTAAATTGCTACGCGTCTAACATTAGTAATGATTATTTAGATAATAGATTCATCCTGTAGCATCTCAGTCACGTCGGGAAGTAGGAAAGCGTGATAGAAAAGCTATGTACACCTCGAAAGAAAAAAAGATCGAGAATGTACAATCATATCGTGATTATTTTTTAAACCCATTGATCCGTAAGTCCCTGCTTTCTATGAGGGATGACTTGCGTTTAAAGCAACCGTAGGTCGAGGGTTAAAACGACATGGTTCATTGACTTTGTGACGTATCGTACACAAAACCTACTCAATTCACCTAAATAAATACACCCGCTCCTTACATGTGAATATTGTAGAGTTGAAAGCTTCAAAGTTTAACATTTGCTCTAGCATATAGAGCCTTTCCGGTCTTAAGCTTGCGATTAATCTTAGACGCATGTACCAAAGGGGATAACATGATTTTGTTTGTAAATTTCAACCGTTTTCAATTGAGTTTCTTAAGATAGGACGGTTTTCTGATGTTTTTCCCATTTATGTAAGACTTGTTGAATATGTAACTTCAATGTACTTATAGCAAATATATCAAGGGCATGTAAATATAATTAAACAACGAAATGATGAATTATTTCTTCTATCCTGCAACCCTTAAGGGACAACGCGTAAAGCTTTATTTTTAACCCCCAATGAAAAAAGAGGGTTGCTATAAGTTTGTCGTCAATGTCTGTCTGTGTGTGTATGTCTGTCTGTGGCATCGTAGCTATCGAACGGATGGACCAATTTCGATGCGGTTTTTTTTCATTTGAAAGTCAGTTTCCTCGCGATGATTCTTGGCTATGTTTAGTTAATATCGATTCAGCAGTGTAAGAGTATCAGCTCTTTTCCAAAATGATGTAAGGCATTTTGGCGTATGATTACTTGATTAAGTGCTTCACGCGTGCCAGTGTAATCGTTAAATGACAATTAATTTGCGGAGGGGGTTTTTTAATAAGTATACGATAATAGCTACACTTATATATATTACAAACCTAAAAAGTTTTTTTGAAAGAAAAAAGAAAAAAAGCTATCAACATCATGCTACGAAACATAAGCATAAACTATACTATAAAAGCTTCATTCAAAAGTACATATTATATAAAAGATATATTATTCATTTTCAAATATTGAAAATGTTATAAGTATATTAAATATTATATTCATTGAAATTAAATTAGTATTTTAGTGCAGTTATTTTATTTTATAATCTTTGCATAACACCTTTGTCAAATATATTGTACGCTTACGACCCTGACTTTAATATACGTCAAAACACACTGCTTAGAACTAAATGGACGTGATTGATTATATATCATGTATAACAAAGTAAGATTGAAACTTTAGCCTGGTTTTAAGCCGTATAAGCCTGATTGATGGTGGTATTGACAAAATAAATTAGGTAACCTAAGGCATTTTCTTCGCTAATCTTAAGATTTACTAAAGGTGTTATCTATCTGTTCAACGTGATTCATTTAAATACAATGACAGTATAAAAAAGGTTAGCTTTGATTTCTATTGTTATCTTTGTTATATAAATATATATTTTTTTCACAATATTTATATGATAGAACTCGGCTACTATAGTACTAGTGTAGTAATTACTCCTATTCAATTTTCATGAATCAAACTTGAAGTTATCAAGACACTTTCTCACAAACAGTAGGTTTAGATGGGAACTTTATCAGTTGTCACGATGGCATGCCAATTTAATCTATACATATAATAAAATTCTAAGTCGAATCTGTACATTAAATATTTTTTGGAAAATCTTATTGAAATAGACATTATTATTCTATAGTTTTTAGAATTTTTGTCTGTCTGTTACCGCATCACAGAAAAACCACCGGAGGGATCTTGATGAAATTTGTTATGGTAATAGCTGGTTAGCCGGGTCAACATATAGGATACTTTTTACCGCGGGAAAATATCTCATTTCTGAGAAAAAAAACAATAACTGCATTGTAAGAGTATACCAATATGTAAAACCTAAGAATTTGGTTTTCGGTCATCTGAACGCGTGCGGAGCCGCGGGCAATGCTAGTTTTATTATAATACTAGCGATTCACCTTCGCTTCGCTTGAGTTCGTCCTTAGCTTGCTTCCCAATACCAACTTTCATTCCCATTTTTACCCCCTTAAGGAATGATTTCCGGGATAAAAAGTCTCAAACTATCATCTTACCAAATTTTATCCAAATCGGTTCAGTAGATGCAGAGATTATCCCTACAACCTTACAAACTTTACCTCTTTACAATATTAGTATAGATTTAATCTTTTAGCCACGCAGTAATATACGACAGTGGAAGACGGCAAACCGGATGTCAAAAGCACGTGTCGATGCACGCAACAGCTACAGGCATGCTAGTTAGTGATTAACAAGCAAGTTAACATTTTTTTTATTAATTGCTCGTAACATTTAAATATTATTTAACTTAATTAAGTATTTCTTGAATATTTAAAAAATATTATTCAGGCTGTAACTACTGTAGAAGTAGCGTGGTACTAGCGCGAGTACTCTCCTGTAAACTTACAGGCACACCGAATGCCGAAGCAAATTGCGTGCAATTTCACTTCCCCAGTGTGCCATTTACTTGCACATGCCATTATTTGGCATGGTATGCATGAGAATGACACGTTGTAGTCACGCGCTTTAACGTTTAGCAAAGTCAAGTTGATTATGATCCTCGATCCTTTGAAATATAAATAAATAAATAAACATGTTGGGATATTAATACACAGCACCATCTAGTTCCATGGTAAGCTACGAGGCTTGTGTTATGGATACCAGATAGTTGATACACTACACATATATAAACTTTAAATACATACATATTATAAATATAAACACCCATGACTGGAGTACAAACATTCGTGCTCATCACACAATGAATGCCCCCAGCGAGACTCGAACCCGCGACCGCTGGCACAGCAAGTAGGGTCACACTGAGCCAAACGTGTCGTCCTATGTATATAAGTACAAATGTTTGTTTGTTGATTTTTTGCAGTTAAAAGACATTAAAACGGACACAGTATACTTATTTATACGATATAAACTCTGGAATATTAGTATAAATTAATGGCTTAGTATCATCAGTATCTAAGTTTTTCTATTACCTAAGAAAACATTGTGTAAGAAGTAAGGATTTCTTTTGTCTTTATTATATTATTTTATAACTTTATTATATTATTTTATGATATTTTATTATATAAACAAAATTGAAAAACTCTACATGAAATACTGTACAGGTTGAAATTCCGTAAAAGCGTATGGAACGTACAAAGTTTGTCCGATTAGGGTTAATAAAGTAGTGAAAGAAAAACCTTCACTTATCGTTCTCTGTTTTTTTCACAAAAGCAAAGCACGAAAATCGTCATATAAATTATAAATAATATGATATAAGCAGTTACTGGCTAAAACAAATGTATACGACGAATTGGAATCAATGATCCCACTGTTCTTATGTAACACGTAGGTACTTAAGATATAGAGATAGATTCTAAAATATGTTTTAGCTATAAGGATTATTTTATTTTGCCATAGGTATATATTAAGACTGCAAATTCCTAGCACAACTTAACCACTTTGTCTTTACATATCGAACTCAAATTATCGAGTTACCAAGTTTAGGAATGAATCGTGATTTTCCCCCGTATTATACTAAATTAAATGCCTTATGAAGATGATTTAAATATTTTACAATCAGATTGTTGTTTCCGGAGGTTCAGAATTCCTGAAGATAAGATTCTGATTATAATTATCGTATAAATTGGAAATAGCGGGTGAATTTCGCCTCAAAGGGATAAACGCTTTGATGTAGAATCTTAACAGCAACCTTAAAATGGAAGATCAAATAGATACATCTTAAATCATTGATATACATACATATACAAATTATATACATGTAATATTCTGTGTAAGTATAATATGATTTGTCTATGTAAACGAAGAAAACGTACATAGGTAATCTATACATATAATGAAATCGTAACTAAGCCGAATCTGTACAATTAATATTTTTTGGTAAATCTTATTGAAAAAAAAAACATGTTTAATGATACAGAAGCCGAATCTTTAGTTTTTTTGAAATTTTGTTTGTCTGTCTGTCTGTTACCGCATCACAGAAAAACCACTTGAGGGATTTTGATGAAATTTGGTATGATGATAGCTGGTTATCCGGGTCAACATATAGGATACTTTTTACCGCGGGAAAATATCTGAGAAAAAATTCAAAAACTGCAATGTAAGAGTATACTAACTGTAAAACCTAAGAATTTGGTTTTTGGTCAACTGACCGCGGGCGGAGCCGCGGGCAATGCTAGTAATATTATAATACGGATGTATAACTTATGTGTATAATAGATGTATACTTTAAAGTATTTTTGTATAAGTATATAAGGGCAAGACAAGGTGATGACGGTCTTACTGTATACAATAATATGAGTGCCGATATAATGTACCACAGTAAATTGACCTTAAAGTTTCATACGCGCTAAATGTTATCGAAAGTTCACTCAAGGCAATGCTCAGGAGAACAATTTGTAACGCTATTATGTACATTAATATACTTGTAATAGAAAACAAACTGAGCTTAGCGAAGTAAAACAATAATTTAGAGAGGTAAAGTCCTTTTGAGGAGAAAATGTTTACAGATTAAGATATTTTGACGTGATATAGTCTTGTGTATATAAATGAATATATGTTGTTCGTATTATCTCATGAATACTTTAAATATAAAAGTTTATGAGTGAATGAAAGTGATATTGTCGGTTCTTCACAATGCAAAGAGTTGGGTGGAGTTAGGAATAGATAGCTTTCTTGGATTAGCTTTTTATAGATGAACTTTCAACGTGAGAACAGAGCTGGGCAAAAATTTGTAATGCTCAAAATGTAAAATTATAGAACGAAGTAGCGTAAGCTACTGCTAAAGCATTATATTTTATTTCTTTATATAACCATTAACTAATTTTCCCCATACTTATCAAAAAAACTCTTCAAATATCTTGAGTAACAATCACAAAGCAAATAAAAAAATCATGCACTACTATAATTTAAAACTAGTTTACATAAAACAAATTATTTACACGAAACGCTGTCTGTCCATCATATAGTTAAAAGGTGCGAAACATCAACCCAAAAACACTATACCATATTTGTGTATTCATAACAAAGGTATATTTACCGTACAATTCCTACCTATCCCTTCGATATCACATTACAACAAACAAACCTACACCTTATTTCATGTATACAAAAACATGTCATATACATCCGTAATAAGAGATAAATTTGAGCACCTGTATCGACCGAGCATTGCGTGTTCTTGACACCGGAACCTAGCTTTTTTTCTCAGCAATCCTTTGTGAGGTTTCCTTTGCAATGGGGGCTGGACGTCGGGAGCTAGGGAGGCATTGTGCCGACTAATTTGAATATTCAAGTGTAGCCATGTTCTGTAAACGATGTCGATAGCCATTTTGGGGATACATTTTTTCTATTCGTCCACTGCTTATACTGACTTAACTGTAGCGAGAGAATTCGGTTTCAAATGTCTCTTTCGACTTAAGGTAAATTGTGTTTATTTGTTTTTCCTATAGCTGTATTTTCTGAACGTTTAAAAAGTTATTTAGCCCCTAATAGCTGTTTTATTCTAGATTTTTTAGGCTTGGTAACACCGTTAAGTCTTTATTTATTATTTTTTTATGAATCACGATAATTGAAAACACTATCGAAAATAATAATTAGCAAAACAACGAACTTAAGTACATTTCTGTTTTATAACAGCAAAGACTATTAAAAGGTAATGTAAAATAAGTTGACGCTCAAAATGATATTGCTTTAAGTACAATTAATGGAGCACTTAAACGAAACAGGTCATTTTACATCGACAAGCACTTATCTCTTGTTTTCAGAACAACACCAGTTTCATCGAAAATAAAAGGATGGAAAATATGCGTTTATTTTGGAAGCTCGACAAAGAGGGTACATCACTAAAATATTTACTAGATAAGGACTTCAGAGGTGAGAAGGGACTTGCTCCCATAATCACCGGCAAAGATAACAGTCTTAAAAGCGAGTTATGCCCCTGAAACGTCTGTAGATCAAGATCTTAGGCAAGGAAAAAGTTTATCGCTAGATGTATAAACAAAAGCGATAAGGTAAAATGTACGTTTATAAAGAAAATAAATTTAAACAACCTATTCTTTTTTTTAAGTTTAAAACTAACTAACCTAACAATAATGAATAATTTTAACTCTAATAAGTACTCCCAAAGGTAACAAAAGTACTTGATTGTTGACAAAATGTTAACTTACCAAATAAAACTTCAGTGGTAATAATTAAATTTAAATTGTCATGTAATTAAAACTTCAACAACTAAATTCATGTTTTCCTGTGAATTTATGGTAAAAGGGTTCAGTTAAATATTCAAAAATAAATATAATATAGAAAGTAAATATATATAATTTACAAAGTATTGAGAAAAGTATATAGAAGCCCTCCTTTAATATTATATAAACGATACATACCTACATATACATATATTTGGACGACACGTTTGGCTCAGTTTGTAGTGACGCTACTAGCTGTGCCTACGGTCGCGAGTTCGAATCCCGCTGGATTTTTGCATTCATTTGTGTGATGCCGAATTTTTGTGCTCCAGTCATAAGTGTTTATACTTATAATATGTATTTAAAAAAGTTATATATGTGTAGTGTATCAACCATCTGGTATTCATAACACAAGCCTCGTAGCTTACCATGGAACTAAATGGTGCTGTGTGTAATGTCCCAACATATGTATATTAAGTAACCTTAGAGAACATATTTACTGTTATTTAAATATTGCAATGTATCAATATTGTGTTCTAGTAGCCATAGTTATTATAATATATAATCGGTACGTGAATTAAAAAAAAATCTAATAATATAATCAAAGTTAATATCTTTATGTGTGTGTTAAAAATACACGCAACAGAAACATATACTTAATATGTTGTAATAACAACTCATCAACATAACTTGATCATATAATCTATTTGGTCCTTCATTTAATTTTCCTTGAAAAGCATATATTATGGCTTAGATATTTGTATTAAGCGTGTTTCTACAATATGTAATAAATTGGATATCTATATTATTCTATATAGGTTTATAATATTAACCTACGTTGGTTCTTTATTCTAGGTATTTTATCATAAATTAGTTTATTGTGTTTGTCTGTGTGAGTGTTGTTATTAACAAGTCTAACGTAGTAACATCAGTATACAATCTACATATAATATATTATATAATAGGCAAAATCAAAACAGTTCAGTAACTTTTTCTCCTCTGTTTGTCCACCGATTTTATTTTTCACAATTTCATTTGGTTCACATAATACTTTGTTAGATTTACGCGAATATTTGACATTTTAAATAAAACTATCTTTTCTCACACTTTTCTCACACTCATCTTGACAGCCTACCCACAAATAACAAAACGAAAATTGCACCAATTACCTTACAATATTTTTTAACTTTAAACATTTTTATAATTTTAATTAGTTTTATAATTGAATATGGAATATTATTTATTTAATTTTTGCTGTTATTATTACAATGATTACAATTTCAAAAATATTAATTAGTAATCTCTATTTATGGTTATAAAATATAAATATAATAATGGCAACACTAAATATAGATTAATAATTAATATTAAATAATGACAACAAAAATAGTAACAACTTTTTAAAAATATATATGAAAGTATATATGTATACAGTACATACTTAAAATAAAAAAAACAACAACAAAAAAGTTAAAAAAATGCCGTTCTCTTTGTTCCAGATAATCTCCGAAACGGCTGGACTGATTTTGACGGGACTCTCACTGGCAGATAGCTGAAGTTATAAGGAGTAACTTAAAAAATTAAAACCCATGAAATTGCACTAAAATAAAACCCGAACCAAAACCGTCAATGTTCGATTCAAAAGCTTTTTTTAATAAAAAAAACGTAAACTTTAGACTAATCGACTAAATATTTTCTGAGACGTTTTATTTCTTACTTAGCTCGCGGCCATAAACTAGGATTTACAATTTAAGCAAAATAGTACCTCTGAAGTCTAAATTATACTCTAAACATGTTAATTACAGAGTCCCCTTACAATTTTCCGCGCAAGTTCGCAGCAACAACAATTAAAGTGTTGTAATTAAAAATATATTAGGAAAACAAATAATTTCTCTTTAATTATGGCATGTAAATTTTCTTTAATTTTAGTGACATTTTAGAAAAACACTGTAACATAGTAAATACTAATGTTCAACTAAATAAATATACAAATATCGTACATCGAGTTACCGTTTGCAATTAAAAAACTAATTATTAACTACTAGCATTGTCCGCGGCTCCGCCCGCGTTCAGATGACCAAAAACCAAATTCTAAGGTTTTACATATTAATTTACTCTTACAATGAAGTTTTTGTATTTTTTCTCTGAAATGAGATATTTTCCCGCGGTAAAAAGTACCCTATATGTTGATCCGGATAACCAGCTATCATCGTACCAAATTTCATCAAAATCCCTCCAGTGGTTTTTTAGTGATGCGATAACAGACGGACATGCAGACGGACGGACGGAATGACTGACGGACGGACGGACGGACAGACAGACAGACAGACAGACAGACAGACAGACAAAAATTGTAAAAACTATAGATTCGGCCTCTGTATCGATAAAAATGTCTATTTCAGTAAGATTTTCCAAAAAATATTTAATATACAGATTCGACTTACTTAGAATTTTATTATATGTATAAATGAAAAACAATTAACCTTATCAATAGCAGTACTCGTATAGCTAAACGATACGTTCGTAAGCCTCTTTACTTTATTCGAAAAAAATATATGCAAAAAGAACTTATTTCAAGAGCTTCTCTGTGTAGCCTGCTTCTCTCTGTGTAAAACTATACGGCTTTGTTATGAAATAATATTAATATATTATTTTACTATACGACTTAGTTTTCTCTTAAAAGTATTTTAGTAGTTATTTTAGCACCTATTAAGGGCTAGCTAATTATGTCAGAGAAAAGTTATATACTCATATATATTTACTAGCGACCCACCCTCGCTCCGCTCGGATTCGTGCCTACTTACGTTTTAACGTTTACTATAGATTTATTAAAGATGAGATATTTTTTCTGCAATAAAAAGTGTTCTATATGATGAGCCAGATAACCAGCTATAATTATACCAAATTTCAACAAAATCTGTCCAGTAGTTTCCCGTGATGCGCTCCCAGACAGAGAGACGGACAGATAGACAGACAAACAAAAATTCTAAGAACTATAGGTTCAGCCTCTGTATCGATAATAATGACTATTTCAATAAGATTTTCTAAAAAATATTTAATGTACAGATCCTACAGGTCCAGATAAATGTGAAAATGTGTTTGTTTGTCTTTCTTTCATGTCGAAACGGCTTGGCGGATTGGCGTGATTTTTTGTGTGGAGATAGCTAGAGGGCTGGAGAGTGATATATATACACGTAAAGTAGCCTATAGGCTATATTTATGATCAGAATTACTTGAAACTTGGTATGAAGACTCTGCAATACAATTAAATACGCGTTTTAGCATTTTTCGAAATTCGCGATAGCGTATAAAAGTTTGTATGAAACCTACCCTTTTAGAGTTTTTTTTTGTAGTTTTAGCGCGAGCGAAGCCGCGGTTCTGCTAGTATTATATATGTATAGATGTAATTAGTTTGAATTAGAAAGACAGCTCAGTTTTTTACTTTTATCTACTACCTATAATTGTTTCACGAAACCAATCATCTTAACTAATTCCTTTCATTGTCTTTGAATCGAATCCACTCATCCACTCAACAGGTAACGTTAGCAATAAATAAATCGATATAAGCACTTAAGGCTTATCCTACAAGTATATCCATAAGCACTTATTATACATCCATATATAATTTGTATAGGATTGTAATGGAGAAATCCATTGCAGTGTTATCCGGGTAACCATAAAAGTCAACGTACCATGAACCATAGCCATGTGTGTTACACAATACAATAGCTACTATATCAGGAGGAATATTTATCTTCTTCATTAGTTTTATATAATAACCTATACATTTACGAGTATATTATAATGTAAAGCAAATAGATTCTACTTATTTCTTGTGTTTAGTATTTTTATAGGTAATGAAAAACTGTCTGTCTGTCTGTATGTTTTTGTTAAAAATTTACATAAAAATAAGTATAGACTCATGCCTTAATACCTTATTTATTTAAAAGCAATAGTTGTTTAAGTGAACCCTTCATCTGATTAATATTATAAATGCGAAAGTTTGGATGGATGTTTGTTACTCATTCAAGCCAGCCTGCTGAACGGATCTGGTTGAAATTTAACACTGAGATAGATTAGAGTCTGAAATAGCGCATAGGTTATTTTTTGTCCCGGGAAAATGTTCGGTTCCCGTGGGATAGATTTGTTTTCCTCTAATATAGTAATCGACAGAGAAAAAAATATGTATATTATTGTAGCTTACATTTGAATGCATTGATATTTTATACAAATATTTTTCAAGCAAAATATTAAAACTATAGTACACTAGCACTGCCCGCGGCTCTGCCCGCGTTCAGATGCCCAAAAACCAAATTCTTAGGTTTTACATATTAGTATACTCTTACATCGCGGTTTTTGTATTTTTTGTCAGAAATGAGACATTTTCCCGTGGCAAAAAGTATCCTATATGTTGACCCGGATAACCAGCTATCACCATACCAAATATCATAAGAATCCCTCCAGTGGCTCTTTCGTGATGCGGTAACAGACAGACAGACAGACACACAGACAAAAATTCTAAAAACTATTGATTCGGCCTCTGTATCGATAAAAATGTTTATTTCAATAAGATTTTCCAAAAAATATTTAATGTACAGATTCTGCTTAGTTACAATTTTATTATATGTATAGATTAAATAATAATACAGCTTCTTTAACATTCACAACAATTTTCACAGTCGATAAAAATGAAAATGAATGCTATAGTAGTAAAGAATCTCGCACACATTCACACACGCTTTCGTAATACAAAAAAA